TTGGGTGGTCGTTTAGTCGCCTACTCTTGACTGCAATACCATAAGGTAAACGCTATCAAGTTCGTCTGGTTTGCTTCCGGCTCCATGAGCCGTTGGACTGTACCGATATAATAGAAATAGATTTTGGAAGGATAGACTACAGAATGTTCCAGGACAGTTTTCGAATTTTCATTATCAGGCTTATTTTTTCGAATTCGGTCAAATTCTATATACGTATCTTTGCGCTGTCTTATAGTAGAGCTCGGGCTTTTTAGTGGCAACTCCAATATTTATCGGTGCCTAAAATCTGATTTACACCGATCTTTCTCTCGCCAGTTTTTTGCGCTAAACAAGCAAAGTTTTGTCCAAATCTCAAATGATTCAAATGAGGAGGCTGTCGATTAGAAATTCGCAGCTGCGCTTGTAATTTGCTACAAAATTGCTACAACTATGCTAATTTGCGCACGAAAATTCAAGCTGTCAAATTTTCCTCTGACGGCGACTCTTTCCGCAGGTGGTGTCGATTTTATGTCGATCACTGCACCTGAATGATGGGTCCAAAAGATGTGTAAGACATTATTAAAACAATGTTTGCAGTAATTGAAGATATGGCTCATTTCGTGCAAAAAGGGAGACTTTAAAGTCGTTATGTCAAAAATGAGGCATTTCTAGGGTGCGAAAAACGGCCACTTTCAATCTCTTTGGAAATATTTTTTGCAGTGGCGCTGCAGTCACGATTTTTTGGTCTATCAACAGCCTCGGTAGATTTTTATATAGCTACCGGTTTGAGCTCCCCGATAACGCTTTATGTCTGTGAAAATCACGCACGTACAGGACGATTTTCAAGTCGACCTTTTTCTTCTGCGCATGCTGATGGCCCAAAATAAAGCGCTAGGACCGACCCAATAAAGTAAACGTGTCTTGTAGGCAACATGTTTTTTGCATCAAAATTTGCGGCTCTAAAAAAGGATCAATCTGCAGTAAAGTTACATCCGTTTGAAAAAAATTTCGCAAGTGGCCGGAAACCACCTAATACATTTGCTTTGCCTAATGTCATGAACTTGGAATAAAGTGGTCATGCTGTTGTATGTTATACTTGTTTATGACCTCCTACAGCATTCTCTCTGTAAGTCGAAGCAATTACACAGGTACAAGTACCAGTTTTGAAACTACGATGACATCAAAATGATGCCGCTCTCCAAAGATCATAGATGCTACTCAAAGTACAAATTCGACAAATGTGAGCTGACTATTATCATGAGTAAGCGTTCCTGGAACGAGTGGTTCCTCCTACATTACCAGAACGTGCATCCACATTTATTCACGTGTTCGATTCCTTTTGCTTCACTAACAGGAGCATCTTTATTATTGACTGTGAACGGGCATAAATGCTGTTTGTCCAAATTTTTAGCGCTGCATATTCAGGCTGATTGAGTCTTATAGCCTTCACGGCTCTTTTTGAACCTACCCTTAAGTCAGATGGAATGCTGGTAAATAATCTAAGTGCCCCCAGTTTTTTCACTCTCCAGTAACTATCGTTTTCTTTCGAATGTTTCAATAAATGCCTGAAGATTTGCGAAAGCTCTGAACCAAAGTTTCATTTTTGCATCTTACATTTGATATGTTAAAAGTTTCAAGTTATGTTGTTTCAAAGCACTGAAAGTTTGTATATTCTGCAAAACCAATGTCCGATGACACTCTTTCGAACCATCGAATCTTAAAGTTGTATAGTGTTTGGTGCAAATTCGTTCTGAAGATTTTCAGGAAGGGCTCAATTTTGAAAAAAAATGAAACCTTTTTGAAAATCATTTCGAAAACTCGAAAAGCGGTTGGAGAAGATCTAAGCAAGTTTAGCAGTGAAATAAATTTGCTATATTTTTATGCTATCACATTGTTCTAAACATGTTTTAGTGAAATTTCAAGTATTGACTGGAGTTACAAAAGGCAGAAATGGCGAGAAGCAAAGGGGACTTTTCGAGAAGGTATGAGAAGAAGGCTATTATCTAAACGCTGGCAAAAGAAAGAAGAAGCTGTGCTAAACGTCGAATGCATGCTATCAATATTCTATTCGATCTGTAGAAAGAAGTAGAGAATGAAAAGTTCTCATCCTTTTAATTCAGCATAGTACTATGCAACATACCGGCTTACAAAAGGGAGAATACTAAATGACCGCTGCGGACGAAGTATTAAGGGGGTCTGGAAGTTCGTGCCATTTTTAGACCTATCCTCAAATCAAATAAAGATAAGACGCTCTCTAGAAAGTGTTCCATGCAGAAGTTATTCCTTCAGCGTGTAATGTCTTTATTCAAATTCGTTAATGTTCGTTTGAGAAATTGTCAGATTCTTCAACCCTTCTACCTACCCTAACTCTTGCTATTTTTTTTGAATTTTCGTTCTGGGTTTTTGGAATCAATAACTGTTAGATAGAGTAAAATACAACAATACAATATTTCGGCATCGAAAGCTGCTTTCCCAATATTCTAAAATTATTGTTGATGCTACTAAATTTGATCTATATTTATCCAACCTCTTAGAACATCAGACGGCAAGCAGCGAAGGTGTCATTCGATGCAGTTTCTTCTCCTATTTTTTAAAGATGTTTTTTTGATAATTTTGAGTAAAGGCCGCAAAGAAAACATTGTCATAATTCTGGTTTTTTAATGCGCCCCAGGCTGCAACCAAAATTTCAAAAATTGGTATTTCGAGGCGGTAGAAAGTCATTTATTTGTTAAAAGTAGTGCAATCCCAATGATTTTTGGAAGTTCCAATTCGCTTAGATTACATAGTGTTTGAAGCGTTTGTATATTTTGCGACTTCGCAAATGTGAAGATTTTTAGAGAACTTGTTTTTAAAAGTACTAAAAAGCCAGCTAACGATGCCACAATTTGGGTTTCGTAGCATTTCATCTACTCTATCTAGTTATCAAAGGCTCTTCAGAAGTCCAGAACGAAAATTCCAAAAATAGCTAAAGTTAGGATAAGTAGTGCATGGGTTGGAGATTGTGGAGATTATTCGAAAGAACATTGCAGGAATCCGAACAAACTATCACTGCTGAAAAGAAAAAGAAGTTTTGCATAGAACAAAGCTTAGAATGTTTGTCTGTACTTTTAAATGATTTGAGGAAATATCTGAAACACGGCACAAACTTTCGGACCCACTCAATATTAGGTTGTCCCAAAAATAAACTCCTTTTTTTAATTTCTTGAATAACTTCCGTTAAATCTTACGCGCTCGAACATGATAAGTATCACTCCGCAAGAAGTGCAGAACGCTATATCTTATTTTTACCCTGAAACTTTGAATATGGCAAAAATACTGCATAATGATCGCTCTGAGAGCTTGTCTGCTTTACGAATTTCTCCAAGGTCAGAGCAGCTGAAGCCAAGCACAACTTTCTGCTGTAATGGGCGAGAATACCCTCCAATACCCTGTTATGAAGGCCTGATTTCAGTGTTTCAAGCAGAGCGACTATGACCTTGAGAACAAGCTCAAATCGGGACGACCTCGGCTGGAAGTTGACCAAGCTGTTAAGCGGAGTTTAGAAGATGAGCCAAGATTTAATGTGCGGAAGCTTTCGTCAAACCTTAGCCATCCTAAAACCACGGTGCACAGGCGTCAACGTGAAAGCGGAAGAGTACTAAAGTACGTTCAGATGTATTGAGAATGACCAGGTGCAGCAACCTCGAATTCTGGGCTCAGCTGCTGGAGAACAACTGATTGAATTCGAAACATCGTCAGCGGAGATGAATGGTGGAGCGGAAAGAATCCTTCTCATTTAGGACAACGCACTCTCCCATGCGGCTTCACAGACGAGAGAGTCTCTGCAGGAGTTTGAAATCGAAGTGCTACCTTACCTACCGTACAGTCCTGACCTTGCACCTACTGATTACCATCTTTCCGGTTTCTGTAGAATGCCCTGGATGGACAGCACTGCAAGAATAGAAGTGAGCTCGAAGCATAGCTCAACTATTTTTTCAGTCGCTAGTTCCACAGTTCTAAGCAAGATGGATCGAGCAGCTGCCTAGGCGTTGGCAAGGAGAATACCTTACCTATTGAGGTCTGTTGACTTTGAATAAATTTGCACGGAATGAAATTGTTGAAAAAAGGAGTTTACTATTGGGAAAACCATATATCAGGTGCGCCTCAAAACTTGTCTCGAACAGTATACGAAATCAAACTGAAGGATTCTAAAGCATTTTGTTTGTTTGAGATAGTCTAGCTTAGCAAGCACTGTAATGAGTATGTGCTTCATACCAACGAAGGAAGTAAATTTTGGTAGAAGTGACTGTTCGAAGAGAGATGCATATCGCCTTGGGTACTTTTGAACGCTGATTTCGAAACTGTAATCCGTACCTGCGAACTAGGAAGACTGGAACTATTCGTAGTTTGAGTGTGAGGTTTGATACGCACTCGTTATTTGTAGAGACCTGCTGTAATATCTTTGACATGTCGGACGTCAGAAATAAGACTTTACTGCCATAAATGCATACATTGACAGCGTCCTCGTCTTTTTGAAGCTCTCAAAATTAGAAGTTTCCGACTTTCACGACTAAAAAAGAAACTTCCGCAAGTACAGTGCAGATTTTAGATCCACATTCAACCGTAGCCTTGATGTTCACATTTCATACCATACGGACACGTCTGTTAAAGTGCATTGTAAAATGGAGATTCAAACCAATACTGCCTCTTCGAGTAGTAGAGACCGCTCAAATGAGAAAAAACAAAGAAGTCAGGCATCCTCTTTCGAATTATTTTAAAATCGTCAGGAAGTAAAAGGCAAGTCATAACAAATGATTGCTTCTAGCAAGCATGATACTTCTTTTTGTAAGCTCGTCAAACTACAATGTAGTTGACTGTGGAGGTTTAATTACTTTGCCCATTACATTCTTTATGGATTGCATCCAAAAGAAGCTCATGTTTCTCGGCTGTGCTCTGGAATCGTTTGAAGTCTATCTTTTGCCTGAATGTGTTTATATGTCCACATCATCAGCAGAAAATGCTTAGGAGTTTGTCATTTCAGAATGCTACCTGACAACTACCAAATTGTGATCTTCTTGCTCGTGCCTCTATATCATGAAAGCTGCGAATCAAAGATTAGTCAAAATGATGCAGGTGGGTGAAACAACGCCAACGATTTGCTACATCCTGATGCGCTAGCTGTTTATCGTCGCGATAAAACGTAAACTTACTTCGCACTTTGTCCTCTCGAATTTATCCTCACTTTTGTCACCGTTATAACTGAAACAATACGTTTTTAATATGGAATATCTCTAAAAATTAGCTATCTGAAGCTGATGTCAGGAATTGGCCGATTTCATGGTTAAACTCACTTCATCGTATCCGCAACTTCTCCTAGTTCTGAGGTGTAATGAATGCAAACGTTCACGTGATCCATCGCGATGGCAACACTGACTTACGTTCAAGAGTTCAGATAGCCACCAAGCCATGGGAGCAACATTGTCAAGATGAATAACAAACTATGAGGAATTTCAGAAATGAAGATAAGGAGTATGACAGTGATGGCCCGCCGCTGGTCGAAACAAAGTCCGTCCTAGCAATCTCACTGGCAAGGGCGCGTCGCTCGTCCGCAAGAAAATCACACCCATAAATTAAGGCTCGCTGCTTGCCCGGAAAGCCGTGAAGGCCCTCCGTCCGTCCGAGTTATTGTCTGAGTTGGTATACTGCTGTAAGTTCTGCGCATCAGCTCGCACGCATTGACTGCCGAAAATGAATCTCCTCAAAGATTATCATTCATTAGTAAACACTGCAAATCTTGCAGCTGATCTCGACTGTACCTCTTTGAGCTTTTCAGAATGAAAAATTGTAGAAAGCCGTAACCTGTGATCAAAATTTTTCGTTGATGTCACAATCGTACAATTCTTGAGATGAAGGAACGAAAAGCTGTTGAGGGTGATATTCTTTTCACTTGTGGTAAGATTGCTCACTTGATCTCTTGGACCATGTTTTGGTTCTCAAGACAATTAATGCTATAAAATTTTATTGCGCTTTTCCCAAAATATGCATAGTCGATTTGACTAGCTTCACCACTCTCTACTCAAGGTCAAACGTACACGCAGAAGAACTCTTCATGTAGTGGACCCGTAGTGACCCTCCGTCCCATGTCGAAGTGGCGGCGTCGAAACAGTGCATGCATCCTCCTGTCGCGTTGGTTGAGTTAATACGACAGCTACTCTTATCGCGGCCGCCGAGTGAATCGATAGCGGTTGTGGTAGGATAGGATAGGACGTGTCGCTATCGTACATATAACCCGGAATCCGATGCCTTGTTACCAAGGTTAGGTTCATGCTGATCCATGGGTTTCGAAAGAGTTTAAGCACATCGCTTGACTGCGTTGTGCTAAGCGGTTTCGGAACTTACGGATCGAAATGAAGCCAGCCTTAGAGAGTGCAAAAATGGCAAGAACCAAATTCTTAAGAATATTCAGGCTAAACTTGGACGAGTGAAACGTTTCCGCAGTTGGAGACGCAGAGTTGTTGTTGGACCATATGCTTACATCGTTAAGGCACGCGCCTTCGATGTGGAGGTGGAGGAATCGCAAGCTCGTCCGAGCGCGCGTAAGAATGGCTTGCTCTCATGGATTTCGGGGCAGTTTTCTTGGCGGGGGCAACATGCTATGCGCTCGGACTCGACTTGCTCGGGCTTGCTCTTCGTTATTGGGGTGTAAGCAATATAATATACCGATATTTCAAGTTGTTTAGTTTTGCCGATCCACTTCCTTTAATGAATTGTTACGGGTTTATAAATTAGCTTACACTCGCTTGCGTCGATTCCAATAAAAAAAATCAAAAAAAGGAGAAACAGGGACGAAGGCTGGCCAAAACTATTCTACTCAATGGCGGTCCTAGATTTTGGATGGGAAGAGTCACGAGAGTTCAAGCTCCTTACGAATTTTGAGAGCCTCAAAAAATTCTTTTACATGGCTTTGGATTTTTGAAATGTTTTGCAGATCACTTTAATTAATCACAAGTGAAAATAGGTCACTTGCGCAATTTTATAACCCCAGTTGGCTATTTTTTGAAATTTTTGCTATTACTTCAGTTCTTCACTGGATCCACTCAATGGTTTCGCCATAGTACACACTTGTTGACTTCCAAGTTCGTAATTACCCTAATTTCACGCGTATAGGGCGCGGGGATTAGTTTCCAAACGCACTACGAGCTGTGTTCCAAAAGTTTGACATTCAATACTCGAAGCTTCAAAAACTCATTCGCTTTGCTAAATCAGTACTCAATTACAATCGACTCCTGAAAGTTCCAAATAGGGTATTTGTGTAAGCATTTGTGTATTTTACGACTTCACAAATACGAAGATAATTGAATGTCTTTTCTGAAGTACTTGTTAATCAGTCGAAGGAGTTCGCAAAATTTATTGTTTTGCATTTTGTCTACCTTTGCAATAGTAATCGAGCCCTTCCAAAAATTGAAAGTGAAAAATTCAAAAATGACTAAAATATAAGTAGGCAAAAACCATGGGTTTGTAGAAAAGTCTGTGATTCGTACACTTGTTCGACTGCCACGCGGGGCTTGTACGTTGATACCTCAAACTGAGTAATTGAACATCAAATTTATGCACAACAATAACAACAATAATCACATGGATACTAACTAACAAAACAATCTCAAGATACAAATGAAACAATGAATAAATTCACTTGTAATTCAATAAACTTGTGAGACTTGTCATTGATCCTCGAACTGTTCTTGCAATGCTGGCGCCTCCTTATATAGCCTGCAGGGTCCATAGTACGCTGGGTCCATCGCTTTGCTCTACTTGCCTCTGAAAGTCGCCTTTGGCGACAGGATTGGGGATTTTAATGATTATTCGAACGAACACCAAAGACCTCGAATATGGTAGAAAGGGGAAAAAATTCTACATCGAACAGTGTTTTGAGATTTGCCTATCTTTATTTCAAACGCGATTTTAGGATAGGTCTCAAAACGGCACAAACTTTCGGACCAACCTAATATAAATAAGTATTTATAAGTAAGTAATATAAATCAAGAGTAGTATAAGGTAGTTGGATATATATCGAGAGCATTCAGTGAACTAAATGATACGAAGTACAAGGTGGTGAAGCAGAAAATTGTATGGAAAGCTGATAAAGAGGAATTTTTTGCAGCTGTTTGTATTGCATAATTATGAAAAGAGCATGCGAATCTAAAGACCATACAAAAGTGACTTTTCGATTTCTTGCAGAACTGAATCGCAAACAGACTTACGCTACAAAAGGGAACAACTCAGCATTGGATAACAACGGAGGGACTGATAAGGTGGTTGACAAGATTCTATTTTGAAATAATTTTCATCTATCTTATTCGTAGCTTTTCAATTCTACTGCCCAACAAAAACGATGTACCGCCTAACACAGAACAGTCACGCGAACTTACCGCAAGCAGCCATCCTACAACGGAACACATAAGCTATCGGTTGCTCTAAATCTAAAATGTGAGCTTGAGGAGAACTTTACTTGTCCCTACCGAAACAGTAAGTAGGCTTTCCGAGGATCTGAGAGACATATGCCTTACCTTATTTTTGCAGAATGCGCAGCGCAACTTTTGCATCTTGAAATGAAATCGCGAATGCAGTAAACAAGAGTCACACGATCCTGAAAAAGATTGAAAGTAAAGAGAATTGTGAAATGATTGAGCTCGCATTGAAGAGTAACTCTTCAAAAGGCCCTGGAAAAATTTACACTATTTTTCGAAAATTTTGTTGCAGTAGATGGTATGCACACCATGCAAGACATGCTCCGCACGCCACATCGGCGCAAGCTACTCAGAAGCATTTTGGTCCGCCGGCAGTAGTAGACTTCATAGTTTTGTTAGTGCGTCTTAAGATGGCTATTTTCAGGCATGTTCCAGTGTTGGTCTGCATAACGAAAATATGTGTGCAAACACGGGTGCTTCGACGATAAGTGAATCTACATACTCTAATGATGACAAATATCAAATCCTTGCAAGCCTGGGAGCGTTTAACCCTCGTTTTATGGCACAGGTGTAACTTGAATGAACAGCAATCAGCAGTTTTATGTTTTGGTGAATTACAATTAGGAACTCGTGCGTGAACATGTTCGAGCCGTTAAATAGCGCGAGTTTGAACATGTTCTTCTATAAATTCTCAGTAGTGATTCACCAAAACACGTTAAAACGCACTCTCAAACTTGTTAATCAAACGCACGCAAAGCGTACCCATGTCTCTTGGTCAGAGATTGAATGGCACGTATTTTGTGCCAAGATGTCTGTTGTCAAAACCCGTGATTGCCATCTCAGTAAAATTGTCCTGCTATTGGCATTGAGAAAAATCGCTAATCACTATTACCATACTTCACCTGCTCAGATAATCGGCGGGCAGGCGGTCCTCAAAGTCTCGCTTTTCTGCAAGCGGTCAGCAAAATTTTGGGGAGTGGCCAAACCTTGAGCAAGCGGTACTTTCGTATTCTGCCAGCGGGCAGCAATACAAAATTTTCTGCAGGCGCTCGTCAAGTATTTTCTATGAGCAAGCGGTGGCCAAATTTTCAGCAGGGCTCGGGCTTTTTTCACGCAGTTTCGGGCGTGCGCCGAGCAAAGGCGAGACTCTATGTGGCAGAGGTGTCATCGCCGGTCTGATTATCCGAGTTTGGGGTACTTTCTCCCAGCGGAAGGTACCTACAGGCTGTGCGATCCTCCACAAAGGGACGTGTGACCCTCAATAGTTTTGCATATTCTTGCGGAGAGTCCGCGAGAATGCGGCCACCGAGCCGAAACTTATTTACAGAAAAGCCGCTATAGTTCTCCAAGCATTCGCTAGAAAATTGACCAACATTCTTCCAAATTTCTGCAAGCGATCGCAGGAAATCAGCGAACTAATTTTCTGGTGCCCTCTTGCCCAAAAATCGCAAGACCGCCTGCCCCCGGCGATTATCTGAGTGGTTGAGTTAGCCTTTCTGAAATTACAGTTTTGGAAGTTTAGACATTCGAAGAAGCTGTGCGAAAACTTAATCTGGATGAAAGTTTGGAGTTATCAAAGGCTGTTCACGCAATTGATGATGTAGTACTCGATAGTATATAGATAATTCCTTAATTTGTCATTCTCTTCAGCATATCGCGACAATTGACAGCAGCAGTTACGCGCTGCTGCACGGACAGTCAGAAAAATATGGAAGGGGAAAGAGACAGCAGAAGATTTTCGGGTCATCGTCACTGTGTACATTAAGTGAGGCCATAGTCGTCTGTTTCAAATAGTCGTCATTAAACAGATACCTAAGCAAGATTTTGCGTCCCATCCGCGTTTTGCTCTACCACGTCGTAATGGAACCTATCGCTACTCTAGTGATTTTTTTCCTCTCTTGCTGCATAATTTTACAAAGTTTCAAAAGAGCATTTGAAAGAACACAGCACAGCACACAAGCCCTCTTATGCAGTGATTGACGATTTCCTTAATAATGCCAACGTAACAGAAAAACTTAAGGAGCTATTAGGGAATCCGCTAAAAACTGTGGTGAAATAGAACGTTTCTCCATTTAAAGGCATAATCAATCATATCATTATTTTATTGACGAGGTACTTACTGTGATGGAAAAGGGCGCGCTCTAAAAATTTTTCAGCTCTAAGCGTGGAACCGTAAATAACTTACTACGGGCGGGGATTTTTCATATGTTTTATTGAGTGTGAACCATTATATTTAGCTCGAAAGTAGCCAAACTTTTTTGCGAAAACGGGCACAATATGAACTGAATAAACCTTGGCTTTCGCAGATTCAAGTGAGAATTGTAGCTTGCACCGACTACCCTTACGGTAACATTTAAAATCTTTTTATGTCTCCCTGCGAATCTTTTTTTTTTCATGACAGAGCATTTGAAATAGTTCCATCTTTTGTAATAAAATATCAATCGGTGTGTTTCATAAGTATCATGGCAAGTAAAGGCTGGACCTCCATCATCGTATTTTGTATGCTGCGAAGCGTGTCGTCCCATATACAAGGTGTGTCAAAAATGTGCCTACTGTTTGATTGTTAATAACTTTCTTGCCATTGAGTCTTTCGAGAAGCTTTTGCAGAGTGAGCTGGCTTCAACTTGGATTTACGTTATAAAGCAAATACCATTCTTTGTTCATTACTGTAGCATTGCAATAGAATTTGAAGAGGGTTTCGCGTCATTGAGGGTCATATTTTATCTCTAAAAAAACTGAAGAAACTGAAAACTTTTACACCAGGTCAATCATGGTCGATGATTCCAAATATGCAACTCGCACTTCACCATAATGCTTTTTTCATGCCAAATGTGACGTAACGACAGATTTCTGGTACTCGTCGTCTGCAAAAGCTTTGCGGACACGCAAAAAGTTATGTAGTGCAATTAGCATGCATAAAAACCTCGTTACACAAGTTTTCATATTCTTTTTTGAAAATTTTTCGAACACCTATCTCACAGTGGCCATATGCTACGAGTTCCAACCGTAATATTACATTAGTGAAGAGAAATCGGTAATTTGTTCCATACTCCATATCTAAGTTGAAGCCATCTCTACAAAATGGTGTTTATTCTTTTCCGAAACATCCCATGACAGGAGAGTTATTGACAATCAAACAGTAAGCACATTTTTGGGAACCCTGTACAAAAATGAACTTTGTGTGTGTGTGTGTGTGTGTGTGTGTGTGTGTGTGTGTGTGTGTGTGTGTGTGTGTGTGTGTGTGTGTGTGTGTGTGTGTGTGTGTGTGTGTGTGTGTGTGTGTGTGTGTGTGTGTGTGTGTTTCGGTATATAAAACTCCATTTCTGAACCGATTCGAAGGCTTAGGGAGGTAAGTGAGCATGCTGATTACAAAACATCGAGGCGACAAGCTAGTGGCATATATAGAAATGGGATCAGGAGAGGGGAGGGCGAGCTAGGTCATACTAATGTTTGTCATAGCGGGCCGGGTGGAGCCGGTTGTGCCAGCTGATTATCAATAATGCAAGCAAGCATGTATGAGAACATATAAGCATGCTCAACAAATTTTGCCTTCTGCCTTAATGACGAAGTCCTCTTTGAATTACTTCTTATACCTCCTTACCTTCCCGGAATAGTATACTTTCATAAAACCTCACCTTAAAAGTTTATTTATAGCTCTTATTCTTGAGCAGTGCGAAGAAGCAGGTGAAGAAGTCGAACCAGGATATATAAGCGCATGTGAAAGTAAATCTTTTTTAGCTGCAATTTCTTTAAGCGAAAAAACGTGCACCTTTCAGCTTGCCAGGGAGTCTACATGGACAGCAAAAACTGTTTCCCCAAATTCGTGAATGCTATAGGATGTGGAAAAAGTGAAATTGATTGTGCTTTCGATATTAAAGATCGCCGTAAGTTGATTTTCGTCCGTGGGGATCGATCGGGTACGGTTTGCAATTTCCAGCCCTTGGAAGATGCAGTACTACTCATCTACAAATGTATTTTATGCATAGTGAGGAAGGCAGATTTGGCGAATCTTCATTAACTGGGATGCTTACGGTATGTTTTGCTTTTCACAATCTTTGCTCCAATTCTTCCCATCATTTCGTAGCTGCCTAGAGTATTTAGGTACCAAGCGGTTGCCAATGTGCGCTCAACAAGCATTCAACTTTCATAAATGGATGGCGTCCGGGACATAGAGGAGGACGCCCGGGGCATTATGGAGGGCGTATGGGAAGACCCCGTCTAAGGGTATGGGTACATCGAAAATTTGGTAACGGAACGGGACATAAAGGTGTGTTTTGACTGCTGTAGCGAGCTTTTGAATTAGCAAGTGTGGTTCTATGAGGATAGGTTTTTGTGAACCCTGGTTCGCCTAAAATGTAAAAGCAAACAAAAATATTATGATGAACGGTCAAGAGTCACCGCCATTTTTATATGAGTTTCACCACCATTAGGCGAGCACAGTCGAAGAAAAGTCTCAAAGTAATTTAGGACCGCAAACTACCTTTTGAGTAATTCCTGAATATGGTTTTTTCTCCAGAGACAAACCAATGCCGTAACATCTTCTTAACAACTTTAGCAAAGCGATAATCTTAGTTTTGTTCAATTTCGCGAGACAGTCGACTCGAGTTCGAGTACAGTACCATTTTTTAGTTTTTTGAACTCTTTAGACATTTGACCTCCTGAGGGAGTATCATATAAATGTAATGATTGAAAAGCTATTCAAAGCGATCACTGAGAAACAATGCAGTATAGTAGACATTGGCCCGTAGTAAAGCTCGGTCATGGGAGATTATCTCCTCTGAGACCTTCATGTGAGGTTCTGTCAGTAAAATGACGACCGCCCATTTCCCTATGCTATAGGGATGCAACGTCACCTGAGAGGTGAGCCTCAGGTGAAGTTCGGCAGGGAGATGATCTCCCTGCCGGGTCATGGGAGATGATATGAGCGATGATGTCCAGAAATAGTGTGCTAAAGAGGAAACGCAGAGAAAATCTTCGTAAGTTGCTCCTGAGTAACTTACGATACACAGCAATTTGCCTAACACTGCGGACAAAATCGGCGCAAAATTGCACAACCGCGCCCGAAAAGGAGAGGATCGATGAACAGCTGATTTTGGCGAGGAAGACAGAAAAAACAAATTCTTCTCTTTTTTGTAAACTTTACTGGTTTTTTTGAAGCTGTTCAAAACGAGGACTCATTTGTTCATTTCATTGAATTCACGTTGCAACCATTTCGCTTTATCGCAAAATTTTCTTAACCAAATGTTTTTTGTTTTATCTTTGCGTTTGCTAGGCGAAATCTTTGATAGCGGTCATCATCGATTGGATAGTGGCCGCTATCGAAGATTGCCCGGCGATGCAGCAAAAGTTGTGTCGCTAGGCGGAGTCGAACCACGGCCGCGCGCGTGTAATTCCAATGGCTTACCCATTTAACCAAATCGAACCAAGGCTGTTTTTTCGAGAACGCATTTGATTACAATGTCCAGAAAGCGATCTGCACCAGATCAATAGCTCGCCGGATGCTGGAGTGAGGCGCCAAGATATCAACTCCCGTCCGCCTCAGGGGAGATGCCCTGACGGTAGTTTACTACGGGCCATTCTTTAGAGAAAGGCGGGGAAACCTTTGCTAAAGAAGTGCGAAGCTCAATATACAGATGCCGTACATTATTAACTATTCCATTCTTGATTAATAAAATACAAAATTTGTGATAATCTTAATAGGGCATTCTTGATAGTTGATATTATTTGTACTTTGTCGTTCTACTAACAATGGTATCATTTTGTCTTGCCAGTATGTGCCTAAAGAAAGCGAGCTTGGATGACTTCGCTGAATCCTCTTCTGACTTCCTTGTAAGGATCACCAGTTGGACTAGTTACGGTTTATTCCACGGACTCTTTCCCTCTTTTCTATTCTTGGTCGTTAAATTGTCGGAGCTAGCTGATAATGAGCAATAAGAATAATTTAAAAACAAACTGCGCTGAATGGGTCCGAAATTTTAAAGTGGGATTTTTGATTTTACAGCACTAGTTGGAATACTCGGGTGCTCCGCCCCTCTCAACATGACATGAGAATTTACCACTTGGTCCGACCTTAACACAACATTTCGTTGTCATGTCCGAGTTTTATATGAAAGTTTTCTGCCCATGCTATCTAGATTGCGCTTTCTCGCGAGCGTGTTCTCTGATCATTCCCTAGCCTTGATTAGGCCCCGAAGCTCCGCCTTCCAGCCGCCAATCCCGTGAACCAAGGCACCTCCGGTGCAATATTAATTTCTCATCGACATGTCAATAAAATCTACATCGAAAAGAAAAGTAGTCTATGACACCCGCTCCACATTCCGATCGAGAAAATCTAGTATTCGACGCCACACACACACACACACACACACACACACACACACACACACACACACACACACACACACACACACACACACACACACACACACACACACACACACACACACACACACACACACACACACACACACACACACACACACACACACACACACACACACACACACACACACACACACACACACACACACATACACACACATACACACACACACACACACATACACACATACACACACATACACACACACATACACACACACACCACACACACACACACACACACACACACACACACACACACACACACACACACATACACACACATACACACACACATACACACACACACACATGCACACATGCACACATACACACATACACACATACACACATACACACACACATACACACACACACACATGCACACATACACACATACACACATACACACATACACACATACACACACACATTTTATAGAACTAGCTGGAACATCCCCGCGTCAGGAGATGGCCAGAAACGACACTTTGTCTTTCCTCCTTCCCGTCTTTTTTGATTCAGCCTTCTCCGCCCCTTTTCTGCAGTCTCAATATTGCATTATCTGCTTGAGCTTACCTCAGAAAGGTTGACTGGACTAACTGCATCTTGTTCACTTCAGATTGGAAATAAACTTTGTTGCATTGTTTACGCCAAAAATGCAATAGTGCAATAAATCGATTGAAGAATTTACGAATCGCTTCGAAAGGAAGCCTAAGACATTTACAGGGTCGGAACATATGTGTGTAAAATTTCAACTCAATCGACTTACGCGCAAAGATGTCTACAAAAGCCATACGGTTAAAATTTGCACAAACGTTGACTTTTATACAACAAGATTGCTACGTTGCAATCAGCATCACTCATTTACTGTTGACTCCCACTCGTAGCTTAAACTTTGCAAAAATCATAAAATCAGTAAAAGAAATGGGCAATATAACAGACGATGACTATATTCGTAATCTGCATGTTCACCTACCCCTCTCCGCCAACTCCCAGATTCAATCTCAAAGTTAGCGAAAATTCAAACTTGACAATTGATTGTTAATCCTGATAATTCGATTGTATTGGTGAAATCAACATGCTCGCTTCTCCCTGCTCCTTGAGCTCTGCCGATTTCCACCTCTGTAGTTCAAAGCTTGAGTAATGTTGATAGAATTGATATCAATCGACAATGAGAAGTAGTCACCTCGCCGAAATCATTTGTGCGAAGTTTGGTCTGGGTCAGTCTAGAAATGAATTCTCTAATTGAGACATATGTTCAGACACAACATACAGACATCCGGACATGCAGAGAGGCGAACAAACTTTCAGGTCTATATCGGATTGATGGACATAGAGAAATTTTTTGACTTTCGTAACCTTACATAATTTCTCCGCATAGCTCTAGGATTTGGATGCTCAAAGATTAATACCTGATCCTAGTTTATAATACTTTGGCTTTGTTCTTTTTTCAATCTACAAGTGAATGCATTTTAAGGTGAGGGAGGACTTCCGAGAGTTCTACACACAGCTCCCCTCAATAACAACATTACAACTCTCTTTGCGAAAGCTCTCAGTACATGGCAGCGAGATTCGTCTACCAGTGCACCGCTTGCTAGAAAGCAGCTTCACACTCCCATTAGTGCAGCAGCCGATGAAAGGCAGCGCTACACGTCTAAGAGCGCAACATCTAGTAAAATGCAGAACAATCCTTCTACTAATCCAGCAGTCCATAAGATAGAACGCCATCCGCCCATCAAAGCGGCAGCTGCTGGGAGACAGCCCTACCCGTCTAGAAATGCAGCATTTGATGGAATGCAGCGCTCGCTGCCTACTAGTGCAACAGTCGAAGGGATGCACCGCTATCCGCCAAAGAATACAGTGACTAATAAGATGCAAGTATACTCGTCTAACAGGTTAGAAGCTAATAGAATGCAGCCTATCCCGGCTATTAATGCCAGAGTCAATGGGATGCAGCTTCATCCGTCTACTGTAGCAGTCAATAAAATACAGCCCTACCCTTCTACCAGTGCAGCAGTTAATGGGATGCAGCTCCAGCCGCCTACCAGTGCTGCACTTGTGGGGATGCAGCGTTACCCATCTGCCAGTCCGACTGTTAATGGAATACAGTTCTACCCCTCCAATGCAGGAGTCAACGTGATGCAGCCCTATCCGTCTACTAATGTAGCAGTCAATGGGATACAATCCTATCCGTCTACCAATGCAGCCGTCAATGGGATGCAACCCTACTTGTTTACCAGCGGAGCAGCAAATGCGATTCAAGGATCACCAACGCTTCCACTACCGGGTATGTATCGAATCGCTTGAGCCGCGTTCTACAATAGCGAGAGCAACTGGCGCTTGCCAATGGTTACGGATCAATTGTTCTTACTCATTTATCTTCTTTTTTTTGTCTCATGCTGCTCACAGAAATGAGGGTGCCAAGCTACTGCATCAGCATAAAATTGATAATGAGTTTCACTCAGATTTTAATTTTTTACTCCATAATGAGTTTGTTTCAATCGCTGTTGATGTTTTTGTTGTATTGAGATGTGTAAACGTGTGAGGGCTTCGCTATTTTGTTCTGTTTCATGAATCTGAAAATGTAACTTGAATATAACGTTATGATGACTTTCAAATTCTACACACGAATGTCAAGCCAATTTCTGAATTCACGTTATCGCCACTGGCTCAGTCGTCAAAGATTTCTTATGCATGAGCTTTTGTGTATTTTTTAGTTTTTGACCCAAGTTGTTCTTGTGCGGTACTTTACGTCAAAGTAGTAAACTATACTGGGCCTTATCCTCATGCTGAGCTGGACGACGTCGTCAAAGCACTGAACTGTCAACCTGGACATTACTTATTGCTGGATCTGCATACCTCCATATATATTAGGTTGTCAAGAAAATAATGGCCCGTAGTAAACCCCACTTTACTTCAAATCATCTCAACTGAGGGGCTGAGTTGAGCTTATTGAGATAAACTGACTAGCGGTCACTCTCACATGCTTAAGAATGCGACCTGATCTGAAAAGATAGCGTCAGGGCATGTGCCGCGATGATTCACCTGAAGTCCGTAAGAGCAGCCTCGATTTTGAGATGAATTGACCGAAATAGTGTGCAAGGGATGAGACGCAAAGAAAAATCCCGTAAGTTGCTCGTGAGTAACTTACGGGACATCGTACTTGACGTATTGTTGCAGTACAAGAACTCGCAAAACTGCACAATACCGGTGCCCAAAAAGGAAAGGATCAATGAACAGCTGATTTCTGCAAAAAACAGAAGAATAGGTTTTTTTCTTTTTGCAGAGTTTGCTTAGGTTTTCTCTACAAAAGCTACCCAGAGCGACAATCTCTTTATTTATTTCCATTCGATTTTGTCCCTACTTCCTCAATTTTTGATGAAATTTACGCAATTTTGTTTTGTGTATTCATTTGGTTTGTGGATTCCTTGATAGCGGCCGTCATCGATTTTCTTCGATAGTGGTCGCTATCAAAGATTGCTCAGTGATGCGCAAAAGTTCACCACTGTCCGGCGCCGAACCAGGGTCGTGCGGGCTGAGTACTAGTCATATACCTGTTTGACCAAACCTATACAAGAGGTGTAGGTGTTTCCTCTTTGGTAGCGCGCAAGATTTTTATGCCTGAAAAGCGATCCGCATCTATTATAGATCAATAGCTCGCGGGATGCTAGACCGAGGCGCCATACGATCAACTCAGGTCCGTCTCAGGGGATCCCCTGAGGGGAGTGTTTACTACGGGCCAATGTCGTTTTTTAGGTTTTTTTGGGTAAAGTTGATATTACTCGAGAACTAGAGCATATCCGAGGCCAAAATCTTATGGTTGAGTTACAAAGCTTTGTAGTATACAATGGCACATGTGGGAGGGGCCCAGTGCTACTGGGGGCGGAGTTTGCCACTTTCCATTTTCAATTTTTCTTGGTTTCTAAGCATGGAAAAATATGGCAAGTATATGTATGGATGAGTGCATGTGTCTTTCACATGCAGGAGCAAGTGAGATTACAGGGGTAGGGGACTATATGTCGCCGAAAAAGGGCGGTCACCGCGGTCATTTGCGACAAATACGCACCCTTGTACATGCGCGGACATGCGTTCCTGCAGGAATCCGCGCGGGACTCATCCAAATTGGCGATATATAGTCCTCCACCCGGTCTACAGAATTTTCTAGGGCGAAAATACAATTTTTGGCATCACGAGTTGCTCATGTGTTTTGGCTCTGCACATTGGGTAAACAACAACTTCTGCCAATGTTTGGAGGTCATCTTGTAGAGCTTCCTTTGCCCTATCGAATGCTACCCCTCACATATTTTTTGGATTTTTCTTATGGCTTTGCTATGAAAAACGACATTATTTTCTTGACAACCTGATACAATATTACTGAGCAAATCCTTGTACTGTTTTGCCTTGAAGTCATAACAGTATTTTTGACAATGCTCTCTACATATTGCATACAATGCCTAACAAGTTATGGTGCATGTTAAACAATCAACCAGCTACTTCAGAATCCTGCTAGAGTCCACACGTTCAAATTGAGACTTGCGTCGAGCACAAAGCTGTTGTTTGGTTGCGACAACAAAATAGTGCTCACTCGTTGATTGCTGGACAAAATGAAGTCTCTGGTTCCTGTTTTTGGAAGTATCAAACGATTTCTTTAGCAGATGCTTAGTATGAGTGGAATGCATGTGATTGAGAGGGCAACAATATATATTAGGTTGTTACAAAAGTAAACTCCATTTTCAAATAAATTGAGCTGTTCTTGTTTTCCTAATAGACTTGATGGCAGTGGATCGGCAAAATCCAACAACTCGGGATTTTAACGCGGTAGGTTCCTTATCGCCCAAGTATGAACACAGTGCAATCCTGCTTGCACAGCATGCTTTCCCTGCCGAGAAAATCGCTCTTAAACTTACATGCGCGGCCAATCTTACACGCATCTGGACGAGTTGGCAATTTCCTTCTCACCGTTGGCGGCTGCCCGCCGCAACGCTGTACCCATTGGGTCCTGCCACGATTTAGCGTCATCGGCCTTGCTCCACTCGTCCGATTCCAAAGGGAAGGGCATCAAAAAACGCTCATTTTCGCCGTTTTCAAGCTTTCAAAAGTGGATTTTCAGGATCAGCGTATTGTAAAACCCCAGGTAAGCGCAAATTTGACTAGGTTGTGATTTGCCGAGCCACTGCCTTCAAGGTACCATTCGATAAAGCAGAGCAAGCTCTACAAAATGACCACCGAGGATCCACCTGAATCGTAATCCAAGCAAAATTTAGGGCCAAAAATCAAAATTTTTCAGCTACCCTAAAAATCGGATCTCCTTCCAGAAAATTCTTCCAACTTGGTCTTTATATCTTTATATAGTAGATTCACAGTAGTACTTGAAATGTATTTGGCGGATTTTTCTCGGGGCTCAAAATTGAGAAAAAAAGATGGTCCGAAAATGCCAAAATGCCACTTTTTTTCTGGTTTCTCGTGTAAAACTTAGTATTTCTTGATTGTAAGAGTACATACAGGGGTAAGGTTTTGAAATTGCACTTAGTAAGGCTAGGTAGTATATAGCGACATGTGTGGGAGGGGCTGGGGGCGAAGTTTGCCATTTTGGGACAATTTTTGTTTCTCGCTTTCTATACTCGGAAAAAGTTCGGTAAAAGCATGTTTGAGTACTACTACGTGCCTACTGTATAATGACCAAGTTGGAGGTCCGTAGGGCTTTTCCTCGCGAAAATCCAATTTTCTAGTGACAAAATTTTCTTCGATTTTGGCTTCAAACTTTAAATGGAATGCGACTTTGGCGGACCTTTGGTGGTCTGTTTGTACAGCTTGATCTGCTCTATCGAGTGATACCCCAATCTACCATTAAAGCAAAAACGGCTTGAATCATTCAAAAAAGGAGTTTACTTTTGGATCAACCTAATAGAAACTAACTAACTAGAAAACTAACTAGAACTATTAATCAATCGTCAAAGTCAATGGGAATGATTTCGTACATTGTTTCAAAGAGAGGACTAAACCGAGAAACTCAGTTACATAGTCATATTTCGATGCACATTCCCACCATTTCCGCAACACTTCCATATCAGTTTACATTACCATCGTTTACTATGGTCTTACTGCAAAACACAGTGATAATCTCAGCTATGCTCAAGAGGAGTAATTTCGACATCATAAGCGTACTTTCAAGCATTCCTAAGACCAAGGTCTACAATTTCTTCTTGCAACCTGCAACTGCATTTGGAATATCACTAGAGCATGCACATACTTGCACTAGGCTTTATAAGATTCGCCATCAAACTTCTCGTGCAGGGACCATTACCGTTCGAGGGATCAGCCTCAAATTCTTCCATCAAATTTTCAGCTTTTTTAGCTCATGGAGTAGTACAGGGATACAAGTTAGCAGATTGTTTGCTTAGGAGATAAACAGATTTTCGTTTATGCAACGAAGTAAGAGCTACGTCATTGCGAGACAAAAAAAGAGTTAGATTACAGAGTACTTGAAGATTGGATTGGGTGTCTACTGAACAAAACTTTGTGGCACCGGACGTTTCGCCTGGAAAATTGCTAGACAAGGAGAAAACTGTTGACGCACTGTACGCAGTCCAAGTGCACCGTCCAAACGAATATTGCAGCAGAAAAAGAATAATAGACATGCTGAGCGATTTTTTGTATGACAAAATATGGCTACGTACGGAAAACGTATCAAAATGGTCCTGCCATTCACTAGAGGCTACGATCCAATACATGTACTCCTTCAATCTCGCCATGCCTGAATCTCATGTCTCCCGCTCTCTTGTTGATCATATGAATGATGCTTATTTTGGTGCCACCTCAGGCGCTGGTTGAAACTTTCCTGGAAATAGACCCGCTGGGTCTTAGCCAAAAACTGAAAATGTGATGGCAAGGTAGCAGAGGATTATGCTCAACAATAAAACATACACTACTGACTGAATTTCGTAAAAATTTTGTCACTTATGCATTTAATGGAAATGCTATGAACTTAGGAAATGGAATAATATCAGAGCATTTGAGAGTGTGTGTCATAACCCTTACTGAAGGTGGAGTTCTGAGCTCAGCCAGAGTACATCGATGTTTCATCTCTACTTCCATAGAGATCAATGACTACAACAAAAGATTTTGAGGTTTATCTCAGTAAAAACCATCTGACAAGAAATGATGAAGAACAAAAAGTTTTGCTGTTTTTCAACATGTTTTATACTATCCGATTTCGGGGCTGTAAGAACTATATTGGTATTGCAACTTCCTTAGTGCCCTCCGTCAGTAGGTAATACCCAAAAAAGCTACAAAAATTAGCAAAATAGTGAATTCAAGTTTAAGTTTCCAAAACTTATAAGATAAAGAAAGTTAATGGACAAAAATGCATAGTTTTCCACACCAGCACACTGGCCGAAAAATATATTGCGGATATCATTCAAAAATCGCAACTTCATATTCTTACGAAGTACTCTTTCCGCAACTTTAGAGCGCGAAAGCGCAGGTATCGTGCATATCATGAATAAGAGGCAAATGTACAGCGTTGGCAACTTCGTGTTCACGCATTATGACTGGCCTATTGAACATTATATTAGGTTGGTGCAAAAGTAATGGCCGATTTGCGAATTCTAACTTTGACGTGCTATAACTTTTGGAAGAATTCGCTTTCCGAATGCGGTAAAAACTATCAGAAGCAGCAAACCTTCTGCAATGCAGCGCACATTTATATATACTCATATCACGAACGGGCAGAAAAATATGGATTGAAAAATAAAAAAGGTTCTTCTGCTAGAACCTTGTCTTTGACAATTCATATCTTCCTCCAAAGTTTGTTAGTATAAATATTAAGTAGCCTATCTTGTAGCCGCAAGCCATTAGTACAAAACGCAATAAAAAGAATTCGGACAGAAAAGTTTGCGAAAAAGAAAAACTATTGAAATTTGAAATTTCTCAATTTTTTGAACATTTTTTCAGCGTGCCTCAAAGTCCCGAATATAGAATTTTTTGATTTTCTAGGTACTGAACAGCTGGATGTTTTTGCAAAAACTGCTAACAGGATGCCGTAGCCCTACGCTTACAGAATTGAGCAAAACTCCGGCGATTGACTTCTTCAGAAGAAAATTATGGGTCATAAAATGACCGCAACAGCTACCCATGTTTAGGCGCCGATATCTCAGTCTGGATAGCCTCAAAGAACACAGTCAAGTATGCATAATGTAGACAATTTCTATTTCATACAATAGCTAAATTTCGAAGAAATCCCATTGATACGCGCTTGAATTCTGGCCGGAAAAGTGAAAGCAATGAAATTCTGAATTTAGATGCGGTTATTTGAAACTCAGTAACTTTATAACAGATGAGGATGAGAGCACGTTTCAAGCACCGTTAGATAGAGCATGGAAACAGCTTCGCGATGCTACATCTATTGTAAAGAAGAAGTATTGATGGAAAAAAATTGCCCTGAAAAAAGGTTTGGAAAATCGGCCATTACTTTTGCACCAAACTAATATTTCAAAAACTACGCATAAGAACACAATATTCCATCCATTTCTTTACATGCTAAACTCTAATACCGAAAATTTTGAGGGTAAGGTCAAAAGTTAGTTTGTTGGGTAATTTTAGTTCTCTCTATTTCTAGTAGACTGATATACATCTCTTTCAGATTTTTCGAAACGGGATGCACCTCTTGAGACATGTAGTACGTCACTTGTAAGTGCGATTATATAAGCTAGCGTTATAACTTAGTCTTGTCCTGCCCCTCAGAGCTTCATACACCATCTTGTATATAAAGCTGAATGTCTGTCTGTATGTATGTATGTACGTATGTTCCGAATAGAAAATTCCATTTCTGAACCGATCCAGACCAAACTTGGCACACATACACTTCGGGCCCCGGCGGGTGTCATAGGCTACTTTTCGTCATCGATCGATATCGATTTTATCGATTTTTTGCAAAATTTGAGCTACGGGGCTGGGAGTTGGCACAGGGGGTAATCGAGCATGCTCTCAGACAATCCATGGGAACTTCCCGAGGTCTGTGAGGGAACTTTCCTCGGGTCACCTGCGGAAGTTCCCGTGAAGCGCTCGGGAAGTTTGCAAAAAAGTCCTCGGGGAGTTCGCAAGAAGTGGGAAATCTCCCGAAAACTTATCTACAGAACTTCCTGAGGGCTTCAGATTGGCTCTGCGTAGCTGTACCGAATCTTGATGATGAATCCTGCTACTTCATAAAGCCGCACCCTTAGTACAGCTACTCAAAGTAGTGTAGTAGTAAGGGTGGAGCACTAGTGGTAGTTATACGCAAAAACAGATATGCTCCCTCATTTATTGTTATAGCAGTAGATATAACATATCGACGGATGGGAATGGGAGGATTTCTTCAAGTTCTTAAAAGATCGAATTACAATAGTGCCTGAGTAATGCGTAAGAGTATCATATTGACAGTGAGATATGAAGTAAGCATGTACTGAATATAGAAGTAAGCGGGGAGTAAGTATATGAAGCAGTGATTAATGAGAAAAAATGCTTAACTAATGAGGCAGAGGCACGATGTTACATGAGAAGACTTATGATGGATCAGAAATTAAGCATCAGGATCAAACAGGACAGCGACAGGATCAAATTTCACTTCTGGTAGCGCTTTCCTCTTCCATTCTGACTTCGTCATACTCAGACAAATTTTTTAGTATAAAAACAACTGAGACTAAGTTTGAACCCTTGAAGGCACAAGTTTTCCATGGTTGAGGCGATATTAACGGACATCCTCGCTGTAAAACTGAATTTAGAGGTAAAAGACGATTCTGGAAAACTTACAGTGCTTCTGCGATACAGGTCCTGATTCGGCCGCAGTAGAAAGTTTTTTGCTCCAGCAGATAGTTGAATTTTTTCTCGCTTTTTTTCTTTTTTTTTCTTTCTTAATTTTTTTTCTTCATCGGATGTACCCAAGGAGATCCAGAAACTAAATCATTTAAGTAGGTAAAGACTGCTTACGAAACACCAACGCACCTAGTGCGCAAGCTTCTTATCGCATTCGATCTGTATCCCTCCAAATCCTCGTTGCCGAGGCTAAGCGCATCCACTATGAAATCTAAAAAATGATTTGAATGAGAACTTCTTACATGACTAGTTTCGCACCGTTGAGTGTGCTAACTATACCATGTGCAAAATTCCATGTATCTGAGGGATCTGGTCCACAAGCCTACAAATTTCGCTGTAGTCCATTCATATACTTAACTAGATTTTTTTATTATATTTACATGTTCATTTGTTATGAAAATTATGAACATGAATGGCCAACCTGTTTGAAGACCACACGTAGAAAGTCATTGATGACGAGCGCAGTCTTGTGTTTGACTCTACTCGGAGCTGTGTAGCCGGCGAAGCTCGTTGAGGTTTTCCTATGATAAGCATAATTGGCTTAATTTTTGATCCTAACTACAGTAAATTTCGACCCGCTTTAGGCGGAAATTGGATTGGCGGGCGTCCGCCTCGCAACAGCTCGCGCCGTTTCGCAGCTACAGTATAACCTATCGTGCTGAGAACCGAGGTCTGCGTCTCTTCATTCTCCCAGTTTTTGCTTGGCAAAATGCCACCGCTATGCGCTCGCGAAGCCTCTAGCGCTGCGCGCGCGCTGCTCCTCGTGGAATGTTCCGCCTAATCCGGGATGAAATCGACTGTACCTTGAATGGTGAACTATGCTCAATTATGTGGTGTTTCTTGAGATTATCATGGCTGAAGCTTATGGTGGAAGATTATCATAGAAGTGAGTTGAAGCATAACTAGTGTCAAATGAAGGGCAGTCACGCTCACCTGAAAGTCGACTTGTGCCCTCAAAGTAGAAGCCTAGAACTATTTGTTCGTCGCGACTATATTCGATTAATGCCCTTGCTCTGAAAAAAAAAACACGCTAGAAAAGAGGAAGGAAGAAATCTAATATGCAAAGAATCGTAAGCGCCGTTTAAAAATCATCAAATCGCGGGAAACCGCGGTGCGGTCCCGAAGCGCACGCACATATAGCACCTTCACATAACTGCTTCACTAGTAGGGTGAGAAAAGATCGAAATTACAAGCACTCAACTAGGAACCAGAGCCTAAATACTACCTAAGATAACACTCTTATTTACACAATTTGAATTGCTGAACTTTCACCATCTATAACAAATCGACAGACTAGCAATATTGGCAAATGCGGACTAGAAATAGCGCAAGTGCACTGTTACGAAATACAGAAAAGAAAGCAAGGAGAATCAGACGCTGAAAAAGACTTGCCTAAATTCATGTTTTCCTCTTTATATACAAAACCGCACAAAGTCACATTTAAAAGGATTTCAAAATACGTAAAAGTCATGAGTAAATGTAAAGTCAAAAGGAGTCATTTCCTTATTACATGGTGGATCATAACAGCCGCACTCGCAAAGAGCTGTACAATGGATGGTCGCACATATATTAAGGTAATTCGATAGTCGGATTATCTATTTGCTTGTTTTGGCTCTGGGTCATAGCTTCACACCTCGCACTGCGACAGAGGACGGTAATTATGATGTGCAAAGTAAAACAAGTAAGAGGTTACTTCACCCTTAGCGACAAGTGACGCAAATACATATGAATAAATGCCACATGAAAAGGAGAGAAGCCAGTCAATTTACAGAATAAAACGAGAGGACGATAGAAAAGAAACACTACAAGTACCCCACTTGCGCTAAATCAGATATCGCACTGACCATTACATAAGTTTGATGATGACTCTGTGACTTTTTACGACGCTTCAGTCATTAGAATGAACGTAGCGCTATTACGAAATACCGCGAAGCTCTCGGAAAATTCCCTTTTCTTGAAAGCTTTCGAAAAGTTTTGCATTTATAGATACTTCCCGGGGAAATCCTCGGGAAGTTCCTAACTGCGTTGCTCCTGACGTCAAAGTTTTCGGGAAACTCCCATTTTTGCGCTTCCATTCACCTCTGTGTTAAATGAGTTCTTCGGGAAGTTTGCCAAAATGGCTTGTTTTCGGGAAGCTCCCGTAAATTGTCTGAGCTGATTACGAATATAATAATGACAGGGCCGGGCGGAGCCGGGTAAGTCAACTAGTATATGATAAAGTAAAATATGCCATCTGCGGGCTACATGAGGAGTTCTGAGGTATGCCTTTTATTTGTTTATACGCACTCCACCAAAATACAAATTACTAAACTATAATATAGAATGAACCATGTAGATTATGCCTTCGACATGGTAACATTTGTCTTGTGCCGTTACTGCATCATGTGAAACATCGTTATTAGAGGTTCTGATACAGTTTTCATGCATAAGCATATAAGGTCTCACCGCAGTCCGTGTCAGACTAGTGAAAAGATTGGAAAAGTCGGCTGAATATTTTTCTAGATTATTGCCAGCTATCAAAGTTCTTTAGGGACTCTACTGTTTCTATAGCCCAAAAATGTTTTACCCTAGTCCTTTGGTAATTAGCTTCAACTGCTATATGTTCGTGCATGGCATCTTGTGGGGCTTGCTTACCATTATTCAGCGGTAAGCCTCGTGCTCCATTCGGTACTCACAATGAAGCAAAAACTTCGTCTCAGTGTCCGGGTACTCTCTCTTTCTCTCCAATTTGATAGATTTGCAGAAGCTTAAGGACTGGAGAAGAAGAAGTTTGTCAAATTACAAAAATAGAATTGGTCTTGTTTTGAATTCCGCGATTACTCATAACTTGTGTACACGTAGTTATGTAAACAAACACACCAAGAAAGTTCATGGTCTCCTCTATGCAGAAGAGAAAATAATTCGACGAGTTCTCTGACGTTCTCGAATAAACAGCTCCCTCGAATGAGTCATCCGAGCTCTTCAGTCACTCATCCGTAAGGTGGCACTCCCGCGCGGTGCGAGCGCGCGATTTCTGCAGCTCATTCAACTGCCGGTTTCCCATTTGACCGGCGCCGGCCGTCGACACGACAACGATCTTTTTTCTATTTGCTCTCAACCGGTCTCCGTGCATGTTAGAACGCTTCCAAATTGCATATTTGTGTTGGCCACCACCAGCCCAGTGAAATACTTCATGCCATCCGTAAACAGTTTTCTGGAGAAGATTGTCATGCTTCCGTGGCGCAATCGGCAGCGCGTTCGGCTGTTAACCGAAAGGTTGGTGGTTCGAGCCCACCCGGGAGCGAGATGTTTTGCTGGTACGGCAAAATCCCGAAAATCGATAATTTCGACGAAATTCCTTTCTTATCAGCTAGAGATGCTTGTTTTCGCACTTTGACTCATAAAGCTGTTTGGAAACCCATCACCTTTCTTGAGTAAACTTTTAAAGCGCTCTGTAAAGGTTTTCGCTTCACTCGCTTCACATTCTGTCTTAGCACTGCAGCTGTATCTTACCCTTTCAACACTTTCTTTGTACAAAGGGGCTTTAAACCATTTTGCATGTTGATGTGATCTTTGATCTGCACACATTACTCGACACTCGTTCCCGACCAGCTAAATCTCCACGGCGAACCGGTCCTGAACGCAAAAAAAATCGACAGCACGTGGTAATAGGGAACTTATCGGATTGACTTACTTTTGCTTCATTCATCCCTTGAATCAGCCTTGACGTCATTGTATTATGATGAATTTTTGTGTCTAGCCACTTTATAAAAAAAGAAATTTTTCAAGAATATTTGAAGCTTATTTTTAACATATGATGAATCTTTTATATTAGTTTGATGTAATTTTAGAATGATATTCCTGCAAAAGAGATTGAACTTCAAATGATATGAATTAGATTTCCAAAATTGATCAGAACTAAGACATCGTTAATTTATAAGAAAATATATTATACGAAACTCTCTTTCGATTTTCTATTTTTATTGATTATTTTTTTTAAAATCTTTGCTAAAGTGCTTTGGAGGACACATTTATTTCAAATTTTCATATGTATTTATCGGCTTAACTTACAATTTACATCTGATCTTGAAGTGTAGTCTTTGTCGGAAAAATGATACACTAGTCCGAGTCATCATTGATTTGTACACTTTATTATATTCCTTTCTTAAATTTTTTTCATCTCTAATAAAAATAGAAGAAGAATACAAATCAAAGCGTGAATTCGAGATTACAATATTCCTAAACGCGGAAGTAGACTAACACCAAAAATATTTTTCGCTTCCATTTAGCATGTCTTCTTATTTGAACATCTGTTCTATTTGACTCATCCTTCCCCCGCCCCCTCTCCCTCCCCTTTCTTTCTCTCGCTATCGGATTTTTCAATTCAGCTATTTATCTAAATTTTAATGTCTTTCAAGCCATCAAACAGCTTGTACTTTGCCCTATAAATTCAAAAGCCTTCTATCGTCAAGGCTTTGCGTGAGTTATTCAATACATGGTATGTCTCCATCTCTTTTTTGCTTTATAGCCTTGCAAGGGGCAACTCTGCAAAAACTCAGTCATTTCGCTACGTTTTGCTAGAGTGCAATTATAAAGTACAAAGTGTTCTCAACACTTCCCCAATGAATCATCGGAAGACTCGGACTGAACCTGCTTTACGCCAACTTTTTCTTCTCTCATCCAGACAGGTCTTGAGCTCGGTCTCGATGTGTACTGTACTATCTGTGAAATATTGATTATTTATGTATGCTTATCTTTTTCAATCTCCTGAACTTTCGGTATAACGTACTTTGAACTTTGTCATTAGTTTCATGTATTTTTAATTTGCTAGCATTTTACAACATACTCTATTTCATATTGGCAAATAATATGTATTAGTCAATATAACCTGACTAGATAGCCCAGTCTAGGATTAGAAATCAATCGATCAGAGTATTTCATTCTCATTTCATGCAATTACACATTCCATTTACATTTACACCTTGGCAATTGTTTTTTAGCTTAATCGGGGTAAAAAAAAAAAGAACTTCAAAAAGTCAACCCTCTAACGAAAAAAAATAAAAAATAATATTCTGCTCGGAGAGATAGAAAATGTGGACTTATGATCATTTTTTACTATTTTTATATCTGCCTATTTACCCATTAAGATGCAAAGCGAATAAATATGGTTGGTTAAATTGTTAAATTACGTAATTAGGAATCTAAATTTTTTCATATGAAATTTATGAACGTATTTTAATCATTTATAGACGTGAACAAGTTGCTTGCATAATTCCGTAACTCATTTAAACTGTTATCAAAAATTTCAAGAGCGCCCCGCCCCCTCTCTTCCCTTCCCCGTGTTTGACACTAACGGCTATGAAAGAAAAAGCGCATGAAAATATTTTTAACAAAGAGAAGAAGGTTATTACCATTTGTAATGGAAAGCTTACATTCAATCGAGACGCAAAAAAATCTTCAGGAAAATTCCAGAAAAATTTCTGATGTGGATTTTTGATGTTTAGTGTCGCTGCGCTATTATACCACGTCCACGATTTTATGGATATTGCTGTTTTTCTTCACATGTCACCCAGCTCTTTGTTATCGAATTCACACCTTGACATATTCCTTACTTTATTGCATTTTTCACGAGTTTTATAGCTTCTCCTTTGCAGAAACTATGTATTGTGACTATTTGTTTGTGCAAAACTAATTTCTATGACTAAATGCACTCCATGCTGTGGTTGCAAGCAATTTTTCGTCGTCCTTTTCCTCCTCTTCCGCGAAATCAAAGTTTGTACTCTCATCGCTTATCAAATTATCATTGTCTGAGAGCATCTAAAGTGCATATTCTTTCATAATTATCAAGTCCAAAATTCCTATCAATTGTTTTTTGAAAATCCATAACTTCTCAAATACTAGGCTATCATTTTAAACCTATTTTGTTGTCAAAAAAAAATTTTTGCCTTTTGAACGTCTTAGCGGCTTTTATTCGGATATGGTTTTGGTTATGAAAAGGAAGAATTCCTCGAAGTGAATAATTTGTGTTAACCCCCAAAAGTCTGAAATTCGTAAAAATTTAGCAATTCAAAAGATAAATTTGGCGCACACTCTTTTGAATGAGGAAAGTTTGTGCCCACCTCTTTACTGAAGTTCATAATTTCCGAAAAATAACACAAAAATAAATTTTGTTGCTTCTCACTGTTTTCTCACCTCAAGTCCTTACAAAAGCATTTGAAATCTTAATTTCAAATCTTTGTAATTGGAAGAATTAGGTAAACAGTGTTACAGAACCCGATTTTAGAATCTCGAGACTTAGTTTCAAACAATTTTGACTGAAAAAATCTTATTCTTTTTTCTTTCATCACCTTATTAGGTATAAATTCGCTGCTGTTACACAGCCGTTGATCTTCACTTTTTAACAAAATCGTATCGAGATTTGAAATTGCGATTTTTCAAACTACGATATACAGAATCTTAAGGGCGTACGACTCAATAGCACAATTTTTGAAAAATAATTCTATAGTACAAAAGACCCAGCTATTGATTGAAACACCAAAATATCACATACGGGCAGATTTTTTGTTGGGTATGCAGAAAGTATAAAATGCTTCCTTGTTTATATATACTTATCTCTGCCTTTTTTTAGTCACTAAAAAACCAAGTGTTCAGCAGTCTTGCAAAAATCAGAACATCCCTTGTTCCTGCTAGCACCGTTATTTTCATTTTCTTGCAAAGATTCATGCAAAAAATTGATACTTTTTGCACACAGCGAGTACTTTTGCAAAGTCCGTAGAACCGTCACTTTGGTTTCGAAGCATTCAAAACATCTCAAATGTTCGCACCCATGACTGCATATCTGTCATTAGTGGCAGAAATTCGCACTCATTGTTGACTTCTGTGCCCAATCATTAGCTCTTCGTACCTCGTGACAAATCCTTTGCAACTTTGCATCAAAAAATTTTATTTATTATCCTTCTTTCCTATTCTATCCGCTTTGAGAAATGACATAAAAGTTGGAATAGGACATAACAAATAACAGAAAAGCTGACAGAGAAGCTCGAAATTAGAATCAGTATTTAGATCCAATTTTTCAAGGTTATTTTAGGTTTAATTTTTTATACATTTTATATAATAAATATATAGAACTATGTATAACACACATCTATATCCAAAAAAAATTGTCTTCTTACTTACACAATCTTGAAACCTTACTTTACAAAAAATTTGTACATACTTTTTACTCCTAGACAAACTTATTTTTCAGTATCAAAATCAGTTTTACAGACCTTCCTTCTTTACTGAGGAGTTCCGGGGAATGTCTGTAATACTCTTACTCCGTTTAAGGGCAGGAACGAAACGGAGCCTTTTGGCTATTTACACACTGTGAATTGAAAACTTTCCTTCTTATTACTGATTCATAAAAAGACCTGTACTAATTTGAGAAACATTATTTAGAAAATTAAGAACAAAAGACTGCGTAATTGTTTTCTGTGTTTCTGTAACATTTTGTCCGCTGAAATTGAACTCTGTTGTTCTACAGATTTGACACGGTTCATACCCATGCCTCCTCTCCTTCAAAAGCAAACCAGTGCTTTTTTAAATCCCTTGCAAACATATTTCCGTTATAAGCGCAAAAAAGGAAGATTTCCTAATGTTATGCAATTGTTATGTGTTGTCTCCGTGGTGACAGAGACAACAAAGATGAAATGGGTGTGCAAGCAAATTTCAATCACTGTTGCTGGCCATTTCCTTTGAAATTCATCTTTGAGTATAGCCTTCACTTCTAATTCAGTTTTGAAGGGGGCAACAGGAAGAAAAATTTATTTGCCTGCTGCGTTTCGTTTATTCATAGTGTTTATCCTCAGCAGATCTCAAATATTTTGAAGTTGCCCGTCTGATTTACTAGCAAATAATTTCCAGGATGGGTGTGGTCGATTACCTCCTACTAGTTCTTTTGCTCACAGCCGTGAACAGTGCGATAAGTGAGGCGACCTCGAACGAGGATGACTCGCGAGAAGGTATGCAAATTTACCTACGAAAGAGATCATTCGAAAAAGTTTTTATCAGGCGGCAATTTGTATTCCACATATAGGATTTTTATTACCCTTTGAATCAACGAGATTGGCGGCCGGAAGGCGACCGCTCGCGCTTGGACGCATTCTGCGTCTCTCTCGTGAAAGTGCTCTCTGATCATACTCTAGCCTTAATTAGGTCACGAAGCCCCGCCTTTCAGTCGCCAATTCAATTAATCAAAAGCTTACTCTATGTTTCTTTGAGAGAGAGTCGCAGATAACTTGCAAAGTCCTCCTTCTCTCTCTTCACTCCCTCTCCCTTCTATCTCCTTCCCAAAAAGACAAAATTTCTATTTTACTACTTATGTATGTGACAGCCCAAGAGAAGTCGGGTATGAAAAAGCACAGAGTTAGCTTCTAAAATTTTTTATAAGAAATTTCTTGATAAAGAGGTAAAGACAGAATATCATTTTAGAGCCCCTACTCCATACCTTAGAGCCCCAATTTTAGGTCTTTCCGGAGACTGGCCGATGGAAAAGCATCTTTAAAAATTGGGAATCTCTTCTGATTTCGATGACTTTCTTCTTCCCCTTTAGGATTCTGTTAGGTTGTACTAATGAAATCATCTAATTAGTAATACGGTACCAGTCATATTGAAACCAATAACCTGATTCAGTTATAACTTCCTCTTTCATTTTTGGTGTCACAGGTGAGCTCTACAACTCTCCCCCTCCCCCCCCCCCCCCCACCTTTTTTGTATCATTAACGGTCTTTATTCAAGCAGTGTATTAGGTTGTAACAGAATTAATGCAGGTTTTGAATTCCAACCGCAATAAGTCATACACTTCTCATTTTTAAGTAGGTTGCAAAACACCATTCGATAGAGCAAAGCAATCTCTACAAGGTGGCAATCTTGCTTTAGCAACAACTCTGATCCACCACGAGTTTTGAGCCAAAAACTAAAAAGATTCAACTGCTTGAAAAATCGAGAAAAATCGTAACTCAGTTCCTAAAAAACCTACAAAAATTCTAACTTGCTCACGTAAACAATATTCACATAAGACATCCATACACGCATTTGCCGTACTTTTTCCTCTGTTAGAAATCAAGAAAACGGGAATTTTCGTGCGTTTGCCAAAGTTATGCTGTGCCCTTTCCACATAGGTAGTTGTATACTACAGACCTATAGAAGTATTAACGCAAATTTTCAGCTCTCTACAAGCTTTAGTTCTCGAAAAATATCGAATACAGTTTTCGCTAGTCATGTGGTCCAAGCTAAAATTCAAATTTCTCGAGAACTAAAGCTTGTAGAAAGCTGAAAATTTACGTTTGTACTTCTACAGGTTTGTAGTATACAACTATTTATGTGGGAACGGCACAGCAACACTTTGGCAAATGCACGAAAATTTCCGTTTACTTGATTTCTAACAGAGAAAAAAATACGGCAACGGCCTGTATAGATGTCTAATGTGAATATTGTTTACGTGAGCAAGTTAGAATTTTTGTAGGTTTTTTAGGAACTGAGTTACGATTTTTCTCAATTTTTCGGACAGTTGAATCTTTTTAGTTTTTCGCTCGAAACTCGTGGTGGATCAGAGTTGTTGCTAAATCAAGATTGCCACCTTGTAGAGATTGCTTTGCTCTATCGAATGGTGTTTTGCAACCTACTTAGAAATGAGAAGTGTATGACTTATTGCGGTTGGAATTCAAAACCTGCATTAATTTTCTTACAACCTAATACTTCAATTATTCCAGAAAATTTGCGACAGGAGGTCAATGAGACCACGACAGTCACTCCGACCACCTCACCCTTTGTGATTATAGACGAACCGGACGAAACAGAGGTGAGACCGGTTCAATTACATTGCCTAATGACTTTTGAGGGCTCTTCTGTCAAGGAGCTCCTCGCGGGAAAGCCCGCAAAAACTCTTTTGTCCAGGCAAATTTTAGCTGGTTTCAGGAAACAATTACGAAAGTTGATGTTCCCACGCTCAGAACAAGGGCTACCACCACCCGCGCACGATTTCGAAAGCACGAAATTCTTTCCGCCTACATGATAGCACGAAAGCTTTTCATCGGCTTTTTTAGGGTGACGTCATCGACATGCCGCACATACTCGCTCAGTGAGAAATATCACATTCTTGAAGGTGTTGGAGCACGTAATCAACTCTACATGGCTGAGGTGAGGGCTATGTTATGTGTTGCAGGCTTGTTTACACTCATGCTTGGTCCTAGACTTACTTCTATCAAGAGATCGCAAAAAGCACAAGCAGTAAGGGAGGGGGGGGGGGGGGGGTGGAGGACGAGAGAGGGGCAGTGAGGGGCACGAGAGGGGCCTTCAGAAGCTATAATAATGTGCAAGCAATTGTTTTTCTAATTGCTCAAAGTAATATTGCGAGTTTTGTAGGAATCAAATTGGTTTTCAAAGATTTCCTTACAAATCGCTTCTATGCTTCCTTCTCAAAAATCTTACGGTAAGCCTGCGAAGAATTTGGAGCATCGGTCCTTTCCCCCCCCCCCCCTCCTCCTCTCACAAAAATCCCCAGACTTTCAAGAACAATGGCAGCACTCGATCCTGTGCACATAATTAGCTGAATCGTAGCTTTTGTCGAAAGTAACAAGCGACAAGTATGAGGAAGAAAGCTGTTCAGTTATGTTTACAGAAAGGGTACTGTGGTAAAGGAAGGTAAACACAGAGGGAAGAAAGGTGAAGTAAGAAAATATATTGTCATGGCAGCGATTAAACTCATAATTGTTCCTGTTCAAGGTTTTTAAACAGTATACTAATAGGTTGGCACATAAGTTTTGCAACCTTGTCCATAACTTCTTTCTCTATGAATGAGGCGCATTCAAATTTTGACATTATGTAGACTCGGAAGTGCGCTATAAATCTGCACAAACCGTTTGATTTTTTGTGGCATAACGGAAAAGATCTGCGTATTCTCCTAAAAACAGTCAAAATTGAGGTTTTATGGTTTTTTTTACCAAAGATGAAGGCCTACGAAAGTAAGTTAACCAGATTCAACCGGAACTGTGGGCAAAATATTCTCAGAGGGTGGCTACTGAACCCAGCGAAAAAAGAATTGTAATTCATTGTTAAGTGGAAATCTGGCGATTGTATAAACTCAAACAAGTCAAATGCGTCAAAGTAGCTTGGATATTTCATCAATGCCAGAGAGTCAGAATAGTCGAATATTGGCGAAACTTTGCACGATGGGATAACTTGACATGCTGAATACGAATATCATATTCAGTTGTTGTCAGAGTCAAATATTAGCCTAGTGATTTTTTGTAATCAAACTCTTTTGGTAGCAAAATAATTTTTTCAAGCTAAATGAATATCATTTTCGTAATCAGGATGTCGAATAACCCCCTTAGACCAAGTTTCACCCTAATCCGTGTCAATTCCTTTCTCTTTCCCATTCAAAAATTGCCTTACCGTAACTCTCGAACGTGATGTTGGAATACGGCAGGAATGGTTGCTTTCGCTGTTAACACGATACTCATTATAATATCAAAAAATGGAAGCGCCACATCGCAAAACACACGAGTTATCAGAAAAAGTTGCAAAACTTATGTGCCAACCTAATAGTTCTGGCTCATGTAAGAAGCAAAGAGAAACTTTCCGCTAGCGCGAAAGGAATTACCCGGTTTTCAAAATCAGTTTACCAGTGGCATTTGCAGATTTTCATGAGGGGGGGGCAAAAATGTTTTGATCAGAATGGCATTCTCAGGTATATTTTCCTTTGATGATTGTACGCAAATTATCTGTCAAGTAGCGTGGGGGGGGGAGGGCAAAGGAGAGATGCTGTTTTTTTAACGGAAATAAGATAACTTGATTTATGTTTTAGAAAAGGCGTTGAAAACTGGGCAGCCAACGTAGAATGGGATTATTGATGAAACAAATACTGATGGTTCTTCTAGAAGGACCACCTTAGTAGTTTGAGGCGCTCTTATGACTCGGTGTGATCAAGTTTCAATCCTGCCCTTTGGGTCAGCCAGCCCTCTAGCGAGAGATATGGTATCAGTAATGTGGTAGAATAGAAGCACGATAGGATAACTGATGCCAAAGATGCCAGCTGTCAAAATCTCCAATTTGATATCACAGAAACTCCTGAAGATGTTTTCCTTAGAAATATTTGATTTAGACCCCAGCAGAAGCATCGTTAGGTTTTGTCTCACCATCCGCACAAGCTGAACCGAAACTCAAAACACTCTCAGCGGATACAACCGAAGGAGTAGGTCATCATCACTAACCCAATTTTTTTTTGTTTCTTGTTGATATCATTCCATTTCAGTTATTCGGCGGACCCGCTGCACCATTTTGCGGCCGAGATTGCCAAATGATTCGTTCCAAACTCACTCAAGCTCTGGAAGATCGGCGAAAAGCAAAAATTAGGCCTCCGATTAGAAAAACAGTTCGCCAACCCCCACGACCTCGAGCTCCAGTGATGTTCATGTCAGCACAGTCCACATCACCCCTTGGTGATGCTGGACCAGAAATAGTCGACGAAGGTGAACCCCTTGGTGTAAGGAGAGGAAACTGTGCACTCGGTAAGAAAGAAACCCTTATAGGAGCTATTATTTTGATTCAGCCGTAACGTGATATACATGGTTTATCTCGGTTTGGAAAACTGGTCCAAATATGCACTAACTATCTGGTAAACGGTCCTCCAAAAAGAGTTTTAGCCATCATAACATCCATCATACCGCAAAAACAAGCGTGCGCAAAAGAATCCGAACCTGCAATCATCTGCTTATAAAGCGTCAAGCTTACCACTTCGGCAACCATGCCACCTTTACACCACTTGCTTTCTTTTACATAATCTCAGTGGGCAACATTTAATCAAAAATGATATTTTTAGAAAGGCCTTTAGCAGATAGTGGATGCGGATTTTGCTTAGAGTTCCAAACCGAGATAAACCATACATGTTTTATTGCAAACGGCTAGATCGACTTACAGTTAGTATCCTTCCTCATAAGTTATGCCTCTTCTGAAGAAAGTGCCCAAATCTTTCAGAGACTTTTGTGCCACTTGGAAATTGTAGCGAACCAGGCCAAGAAGTCTCATGGGCTCATGAGCAGCTATGCTCAGGTAAATTTCGTTATTTTAATTGACTTACCCTTTCATCATTCTTCCATAATTACATCCTAAATAGACGTTTCTCACAAACTAGGACGCCAAGTGTACTGCGAAGAGGTTTTTTTTTGGGGGGGGGGGGAGGAAGGAGGGGAGGGAAAAAACGCGGAACTTTTGACGTTTATACGAGTCCAAAATCATGCACATAACTTTCTTCGCAAAGTAATCGAAAATTTCTATAAAGCCCTCAAAAATTCTTTATTCAGGGGGAGCTGGAGCTTACAGCTCGCGGCAAAGTTGGGAATTATCTCAAAAAAAAGTTGGGGGGAGGGGGTGGCTAGTGGCAAGATTTTCCGATCAAAAAAATTTCGTAGCCACCATCTTCCCCTCTCCTCTCAAAAAAATTTGGGCAAGCTCGTGGGATATAACAAGGGGCGGAGCTTGCCTCCAGTTTTTGTTTCATCTTTATTTTCCACTTTTGTGTAGCAACTATAGTGTCTGATTTGTTCAATATACGTTTGAGAAGCGCAAAAAAATGAGAGGATAGTGGCGCGGGGGGCTGCTGCAAGGATCCAGTTTACACCTAATTATTATTCTTGGATTTGAATTTTGTTTGTACGAATGTTAGAGGAGAAGGGATCATCTCATGTTGCTCCTTTAACAAATTCTTGCTCGAACTTAACTAATAACGAGGAAGAACATATTTTTGTTAGGATGAACCGAAATATTGAAACTTGAGAGAAAACCTATTTATAGTGTGCCGTGGCGTCTATATGCTCAGCGAGAACTGTTTTCCTACTTTTTTCAATTCAGTGCTTTGCAATCACCAAGAGACTGGTTGCATTTTTGACAGCTTCTCGGATCGAGGTATTTTTTGGAACAAACTGTCGTTTACAACGACCTCAATACCTTTGATTTGTAGCCCATGGAATGTGTAGATCTGAGACGCTGAGTCTGCGAGTGCTACGAAATCGAGGAGACGAGATCTGTGAAGAATGGGTGATAGAGCAAATTGAGGTATGGATCAATTCATATTTTGATTCATTAAACCAATCGACCTGTAATTTTGAAAATTCGAATATATTGAATACAAATTTCTCTGGCTCAATGGGATGTGAGGTACCCCAATACACATATTCAATTTGACTTTCTTGGCTTTTGGATTATGGAGAAGTGCTTTTTCAAAAAAGAAGGTAGAAGAGTAATCGCCTCTCAGAATAATATTTAATCTTAAACTTGGACCATTCTGCCAAACTCTCATCCCTTTGCTCTTGTCTCAGATGAGCTATGAGTTTTCAGAAAATTTTTTTTCGAAAAACCATCTGCAAGGCTACTTTGTCCCGAAATGACTCTGTGCTAATTTTCTTAGGCTATCAAACTGAATTCTTTACAAGGTAGATAGCAAGACTTGTCATCAAAATGGTCAAGTAGATAAAGATTGCGTATGTTGGAGGCAGCATCCATCCAGATTCTCGGCTTCCATGTTTTTGCCCTGAGGCCTTTTCGTGGTCCTAATTATAGATATGAAGTGCAAAATGTACAAAATCCGAAAAACCCGATTTCTGATAGCCCTATCTTGAAGTCATAGAAGACTTTCAGTCCCTGGGTGGGCGAGGCTTGCTGTCGTGGCCGTGGCTCGATAGCAATTTTGAGGGCTCCAAGTCCATTCTTTTCCATTCAGAAGCCACATTAAAGGACGGGAGCAACACAACTGTTCTACTTCTAGAGTTTTCTTATAGACTGATTGTAAGTACCGACCTGCAGAGATTGCAGGGTGCAGGAATTTTGCCTCAGAGCTCGGCACATGTGGCTTGTAAGCAAACCGGATATCGTTTTGGGACAAAAAGCAGAGGGGGTATTGTTTTTGAGGCCACACTAGGTTACGTCTTGTCGACGTTTCGTTTTTTGAGTTTTTTACGATTAAGGTCAAAAAGGACTTCGTAAAAATTTGCGCAAGTCAGAAGGGAATTCGTTTTTTACATTTTCCAAAAGCCACCTCATGCCAAGCTCTGTTTTGCCTAGATGTCTTCAAGTCCATTACCTCTTACTTACTAACAATAAAATCACTCAACTAAACAAATTGCATCTGTTAGATCAAATGATTGTGAAGTTTCATGTTAAAATCCCGTGACAAGTTTTTGATCTGAATTCGAAAAAAAACGGAGCTGTTTCATGCTCTTTTTAGAGCTTTATATTTGCAAAACCCCAATTTCCTTTTCCATTTTCATTTCACTTGAACGATGTTTTCAGTTACCAGTCGCTTGCCAATGTCTGCTAAGCAAAACCTCATGGTTACGATCGCAACCAATCAGAGTGGATCTCTGACGGATATGCTGCTCATTTTGGCAGGCATTTATGGTACAACTACTCAATAACTCGTAAAACAAATCGGATCACTGAAACGGGTCACAAACGGTGGTCTCAGTCACATTTTTAAATCGAATTACGTAATAGTTTTCAATATTTATGATAGGTCTTATTGAACAATCTTTATTCAACACTATAATCGATAAATATTCGACAAACATGTAAGACATTAAATTAAAAGCAATCGATACGCTAATCGATAGCCGCTCATTGCGCACTAATCACACATTCACAAAACCTAATAATTTTGCTGCTTTGACCATATCATAATTTTTTACGGTACAAAATACACATAGAACGACACAAAATACATTATGATAAGCTCAAAAAACCAAATTCTAGAATTGAACGTATGATGAGGAAATACCGAATAAAACCAAATATTGAAGCACAATCACTATCAGGGTATGCGAACACACATATTTGAAAAAACCAATACGATCAAAATTTAGTAAATAAAGGTCTTACATTACTGTGCGTGAGCCGCTGCAGCCTTACGTCGCCGATAATCTTCCAACGATAATGGTCTGAAATCAATTTTCTTCTCCAAAATGAATTTACAAAGAAAATGAAAAATGAAAAGTCATCATTTTTCGAAAATTAATGAAATTCCATGGTTTTACCTTGTTCCTGAAGAAGGTGGCGGCGCTGTAGGACGAGGTGTTGGCAAATGTAACGTATCCTCTAGTCGCGCACTACTTGTCGCTGGTCTTGTTAGCTTTCCTAAAGGAAAAATATCTTTTAGTCATTATAATTACTCATATTATTTATGCAGCCACAAAAACCAGTAAAATAAATTGGCTTAAGGGAGATAATATAATCGACAATACTGTCTTTTGTAATCAAAGCCGCACTCGAAGGCCCAAACTTACGGTAGAAGCTTGATGGATAATCCCGATACAAGTGATAATTTTTCAAAAAAACAAATGATGTAAAAAAAAGGAAAAAGCAACTCTTCGCCATGGAAAAAATAATGGAGACAACTACAATCTACAGGCTTGATCAAGATTAAAAAACGCTGTCGAAGAAAATGGGAAAAACACCTACAAATGGAAAGAAATAGTGGTGTCAAAAAGAAAGAAGGTAAAAAAGAAGAGCAACCAGATAAACTCATCTAAAGATCTTACCTAAGTCTATATCCAAATCGATCTTCTTTATGCTACTGTGCAAATCGAACAGATTGCTAGCACTTTTTGACTGCACTGGTGGCCGGCCACTAGGTGTGGTAGTTTTCGGTGCAAGAGTAGATGATGTGGCTGCTGAAATCAAATATTCATTCTTTATCAACTGAAATGCCCGCCCCACAATCAGAAAGAAAAATGTCACGTTCAACTTATACGAAGAAAAATAAATTTCTGTGGATTTCGCATATTGACTTCTAGAATTAAGAAGCCTTCGTCACAAAGGAACAAGAGACAAACATTTTGGAAGCTTTGGCACGACAACAACAGGAGTGGGTTGCGGATCTTGAGGTATATCTGCAAAACTCAAGATCTTTGTACATGAGTTAGTAATAAAATATTAGGGCACATCAACGATAAAGTTCATTTTAAAATGAAAGAAGATGACTGACTTGATGTGCTTGCAGCATGTTCCAGCGCAGCAGCTCCCGATTTACCAGCTACTACCTGAAAAAGCCTTGCATTCATGAAATTGACATAAAAAAGAAGGTAGAAAAAAAAACCAACTAGAAAGACACAAATCACAGTATTTTTTGTGAAAGTTCTAAGAACATCTGAATGCAGCTTAAACTGAATCAGAAAAGTTATCAGCAAAATAAAACAGATAAGCAAATAATAACTTCAGAAAAGAACCAATACTATTCACTTATGCCAAATTGATTTGACAGTTGAGTTCATACTTTAGCATAAGAAACTGAGATGTAAAATATGTCTATATGCAACTCTAACAAAACATTCAAACAAACCTTCATCCTTTCCTTTTTTCTCGTAAATGGATCATCCTGCATTTCGATATCGATCTCAACTTTATTACTCAAGAATTGTTCCTTCATCTTATTACGATTTCGTTGATTTATCCAGTTGATCGCTGATATATCCGCACATCGCTTTTTCTCCTGTAATAAAAACGTTAAACCAGTGAAACCTCAGAACAGGTAACTATTCACATCGAGGTAACATTTTACTTTTTCACAAAGATTTTTACCACTCTGCCAAGCTCAACTTTGTAATAAATATTTCAGGAAAAAACTTTTTCAGAATTGTTTATACATCAAAGAACATTTCTAGAAAATTCTAGAGCATGATTACGAACCATTAACATTTTAACCATTATATGGCGGCATTATTACATCATGAAAAATGGTAGATAAATCCAAAAACCCTTTTTTCGCTTTTCCACCAAAAAATACTCAAGCATTAGAGATTTCGACTCATGCATTCAGAAAATCAACACATGTTCACTAGCGTGAAAAGCGGAAGCCAGTTTTTTCCGTTATTTTTTCGAGAGAATGAATGTTTCGAAAATCCGAGAAACAAGCTAGAAAACTGGGAATTTCATTTTTTTTTTTACCGTGGTAAAGCATAACAAAAACGAAACTCATGAAAATGACTTGTTCTTCATTTGCAAATAAAGAAAACAAACAGATATAAGTTTTGCAAAAAAAATGGAAACGTGGTAGTTTAGGATTAGATATTCCGATTAAAAGCTCCAGAATTGTTAAAGGAGCGTTGCTTGAGTTACAACCATCAATGCCTCCTCCCCTCCCAAGATTTGTGTCGCCTAGCGCCTTCCTCTAACCGCGGGTAAGATTTCTGGAATCCCATAAGGTCGATGTGAATTCTAGCGCATTCCTTTATATTTGTACACTAGTCTCACCACAGATGTACAAACCGAATCAAGCCTCCACACTAATACCTACTTTTTCTTCCGAGATTAATACCAAAAACCTAAGAAATGTAACCGAAACCGGGTAAACTAGTTTACATAACATTTACGCAAACATTGTTGCTGTTTTTCTAAGCTGTACGAGTGATAGCACATTAATGATCAATGAATTGTTGACAGCAGTGATTGCAATGACAGCGTATCGTACATTGTTTATCTCCGTCACTTAACCAGAAGTAGAAAAACTCTAAGGTGTCAATTTTAAGCAAGAATTGCTTGGGTAAAAAACCGATTCAATGATTCCGGCCGATCAAACGGAAAGCTGACAGATCAGTGAAGGATTGAAGATGATTGGACGGGAGAATAGACAAACTGTTCATTTTTGAAAGAATTTGAGATATTTCCGGTTTCTCGATGGCTATAAAAAGCGAATCCAAGCCCTATACTTCTTACCTCAAACTGATCGGGAAATCTTACATAAGCCACAGTCAAAGGCATCTCATAAAATTCACTCGTGGTCGGAAGATTTGATTTTAACAATAAGATTCAGCCCAGACCGTGGTCTCGGACCACAAGAGAGGCCCTCGGATAAGACAGAAGCACTGTATGGACTGAACTTTAGAGTTGAACACATTGTCACAAATGAATCAGATGAGCTGCCGCTTAACCTCTGGCTTAGTCCTCCCAAACAGTCTTTAAATAATAAACTTAGGTAAAATTTGCCCGACAATTTATTAGGTTGTCCCGAAAGTTTTGTCCGTTTTTTTAAACCATTATAAAACCACGCAAAATGAGGACCTGAAGGAGCTTTAACATGCATTCGATGCAGCTTTTCCTTCTCTTTTTAAAGGTTACATTTTCGAACCAAAATTCTGCATGCTTTTTCTGATAATTGCTAAAATTCTTCACCTGTCATTTTTATCTCCTCGAATCAGTTGATTTTTAAAAATTTCATTTAATGGTTTCGGAGAAGTTCAAGTATGGCTCAAACAAAGCAGTTCTCGGACTACATGGCCATATTTTTAGATTCCCCAGTCTGCTGTTTTTAGCTGCAAAAAATTATTTCTTCGAAAGTCTTCATTTTTGATAAAGTCATAAAACACGCAAATGCAGCAAAAACATGAAAACTCTCAAAGTTTTCGCAAACTGAAACTTGTTTTTTATTAAACAATATTTATGCATCATAAAAAAGTTTGATTTGCTTCAAAAATCTGCTTTTTGGAATTTCCGGTAATCTTACATGGTAAACATAATCAAAAAGCCGCGGTTTTTCTTAAATAAATAATTATTACGGACCTGATAAACGTGGTCTACTCAATCTAAAATAGGCACATTGTAGCCAAAGGTTTGCTCTACTCAACAGTCATCAGCTCTCTTTGTCAGTATGAAGATTTTTAAAAATTAGAAAAGATTTGGCGTTACTGCTAATGTGCTCAAAAATCCATGGCGATAATCGCAAAGACAGGGTAGATCAGAGACCAAATAAAGCTGTAAGAAAGAGCATGAAAATACGAGTCAAATGGTCCCTAGGTCGTCCGTGAATTAGTGTTCTGTGAGTTTTAGTGGGCGATGAAAAAAACCGACAAAACTTTCGGGACAACCTAATAAAATCGTGTCATACTAGTTATGACACGGTGAGAGTAAAGATGAAGCTAAATTTCCTAGTTTTTCTCTTTTTTTTCAAAAAGGAAAGACTAAAGACGTACTTCGAATGATTTTCACAAAGCTGAAAATTTAATTCTTGATACCGCTCGGCTCTAGAATATAAGACCCACCGCTCGTTCTGCCCTTGAGTCCAATTCCTCCAACTCACGCTGAATACGACGTGCTGCTTCATGGTCGCCTGTTTGTTCGGCGATTTCCTAAAAGAAAAATCTTGGTGAAATACAACTCGGACAGAAAACAAAATTCAAAAGGACATTCCAAGAATTCTGCTAAACCTAAGTTTTATTGTAAAAGAGTAGAAGACAGATGGACATATGACATACGTTCGCATCAGCTGTCATGTGAAGACAGAAAAATGTGAAGAAAATGAAAAGTATAAATAGCTAATATGAGAAGATGAAAGCTGCAGGAGATTTATGAGGATCACATTAGCATACATAGAAGATAAAGAATAGGATACTGCATGGAATGGAAGGCCTGGTTGTAAAAATAGACCCCCGGTGCCCTTTTAATATCGCAGCCCCAATTCGAAAAACGAATTTTTCACAATGAAACATCGGAAGCGATAACAATTATTACACCATATATGGTCGACGACAATGAGCGCCTTCTCGCGCGTTCGTTCACCCCCCCCCCCCTTACAATTTAGCACAGGGACGAGCGCCTGTCGTTGATGTGCATGTATCAGCTGCCCGAACATTTAGAGCCATACTACTTCGACAGCCTCTACGGCAAGTTCTTTCTTCTTCTAAGCGCTCTCATCACATTTTCTCGTTATCGCTCACATCTCATGCCATTCTCGTCTAATGTGCTGTTATGCGCCGGGTAATTGATAGATTAGTCGCAATTTTTTTTGTTTGCGCTGTTGTCTTTGCTTAAATAGAAATATGAACAGTGCACAGTTGGCATTACAACACGTCAAGCAAGAGAAAAAAAAACAGACAAACATTGGAAATGACCGATTAACGAATCTGACTAACATCTCAAGCCCCGGAAATCGACAAATCAAAACAGTACGAAAGCTCGAGTCGTTCATACGCAGTTTTATGATGTTTCTTATTATTCGTGATAAAAATAGGTGAGCAACAGAAGTTCATTCGTATTGCGTTCAATGTAAACTTTGAGAATGTACTTTGTAATTGCTACAATTCAAAAATAAAAGGTAGTAGTGTAAAGCAAGAGCGGAGCATAGCCAACGAACTACTTGCGGCAATAAGTGCTAATAAAAATATCGAAGGAAAAATTAACAGCGCACTCTATCTACTCCCGCAGATGACTTATGAAAAACGTCAATATGAGAGGTATATTTTACAGTTCGATCGAATGAAAGTAAAAGTTTAGAACTATTTCACCATTGCAAGAAAAAATGCACTTAGCGCAGTAGTGATGGCTATTTTCTCAAGCATAGATTGGCGATTACTTTGAACACAAAAGCGTCTCCTTGAAGGTCTTTTCAGAAAAACCCATATGTTTATAAATTGCTCCCCACTTGAAATTATACAGCATCAACTTTTTACCCCCACAAAGTCTCGATTTTTGAGAATACGCCCACGAACAAAGGCTCATTGTTGCATATCTTTTACAATTTCTTTAGACAATTAGCTTTCCAATTATAGACTATCTAAAGTGCATGCTTAATGAAATTAGAGAGTCTTGGAAAGAAAAATCATTGGGCGAACGAGTATCGCTCACTCGCAAACAAGCTTTGCTTGCATTAGTGTAAAGTATTTTTGGCGTTCCTTCCGTAATATGCTAAATTCTCCAGCAATTTTTTGAGCCGAAAAAATCTTTTGAATGGTCCACTGTCTAACTTTATTAGTGCAATTTCGGATTGTACAGAGCGAAAATGTGGGACAGAATAATTCTTTTCTTTGGCAGATCTCCAGCTCTCTTAACGCAATCAACATTCCTAAATGTCATGACATTTCCCAGATATTCTCATAGATTCAACAACGGCAAAGAATTCATTTCCGATTCTTGATTGACTCATCAATTTGCATCATTTTTTGCTTCGTAAGCTTTTAGCTCAATCCAAAAGCTTCTGCGGAAAGAAATGCCAACAAAGAGTGCATGTGATCTGCGCTGGCACGTCAATGTATTCTTTCACATTGGCATTCTTGCGCATCACTCCTCCTAGAGTTTTCGCTTTGTACGATTCGAGACTATCTAAAAAGTAGTTCGGCATTGAACTATTCATGAGATTATTCTTGCGAATTCGACTAGCCACAAAAAGACTGTATTCGCCTATACAAAATTCGTCTATAAAACATTTTTGCGCAGTTTTGTTTTTATGATCAGAAATTTTGCAGGAACTGAACCAGCCAACCAAAAGTCGGAACTTGTTAATTACAGTCAAGTTTGCATAAAAATCATGATAAAATTGATCCTTAAACTTGATAAATATTCAAAAATGACCTCAACACTTATTGATCCTTTTTTTTTATTTGAATACGAAGAGGGAGAGCTAAAAAATACCCGTCCCTTCTTTTCATTCATTTCACCCCAAACCCTCTCTAATTAGTCACTTTTGCATTTACGAACCGATTAAAACCTAACCAATGTCGAAAAAACACGCTTTTGGATACGCAAATGAGGTATGCGATAAAAATGGTTCGCAACATTTTTATCTCACAAAATAACTAATGTAAACTTACAGGCGGATCTAATAGTGGGATTACATCCATCTATCTACGGGAGCCAGCTAGCTATCCATCATTCACATTTTAACAAGCTGTGTATTGGCTTTGGACTGCTAATAAGTGTCGTGGCTCTCAGATTTTGAGTTCTGGCTCCGCTGAATTTGGTTACCAATTCAAGTATTCTCAAAAAAGACTGATATTTACTTACAGTCTTCAGTTTTTCTAACGATTATTCGTTGATTTGTGTTAATTTTTGTTAAATGCTGGCTATATTCTTGCAAGTAAAGACTGCTTCTCCCCAGAAAGTTTTGAGTCTTTTTGAAAAGCAGCAGTCTTCAAATTCTTCAAGAAATCTTGTAACTTCTCGATCGATCTTCGCACAAATCCAATGCAATCGAGCAACGAACGAAGACTGCATTGAAGTGCGCGAAGCTCGCAAAAGTACAAGAACGCGAAACGAACTGCATCAGCTTCTTTTCCCATACACAACTATCAGACCAGATCAATACAACAGCAACTACAACAAAGCGCAAAAACTTCACCATGTGTGTACTCGCGTACAAAACCGTCCATTTACGTCATGCTTCATTGCAATAGAGCATGTAACATACGAATGTTCTAACAAAACATTCGATGATACCAACAGAGCGCGTAAATAGCACTGTTGTAAAAGATTCATCTATCTAGCCACGACACAAATGATCTTTTCCAACATGTTTGCCAAGTCGTTTCGGCGACGACCACCGTCAACGAAGCTCTTCACAAATGCATCCGGCAGCATGTGTAGGCTAGCCTGGGTGCATAAATCTCCCCAAATCCCACTTTCCACTTGCTCTGCAGGCTTTTCGTCTCGAAATCTCCATTTTTGATTGGGATTATTGAACTTTTAGCGCATTTCGGTGGCAGATAATTGATAGTTTTTTTGCGCAAAAAGAAAAACTATAGCAGCAGCTAATCAAACCGCAAAAATGTCAATATCATTGAATCATATCTTGCCGACATTCGTGATTCAAAGACACGACTTTGCTTCGTGTCACATACGCATCTTCCACGAAAAGCTGAGATAAGTCTTTCGCTCCATGACTTTCTTCTAAAGAACTGAGAATACCCTCGACAAGGAGTTTCCCCAATTCCATGCAAGTTATGGAGCGGGAGATAAAATCTCAACTAGAAACTCCTTCTTCTCCTTCTACATTCTTAATTATCAGCATCTTTTTGAGATGCTAACCACTTAGTGCAATCACCATTTAAGCTTTTACCCTATACATGCCGCATAGCAAACACATTTCTCAGCAAGTTTCATCAACCAAAGTGTTGGTAACTTTTAGATGATTGATTTCCGTTAACGTGTCGTCCTTGTTCCGGTGATTCGTACACTTTGTCAAATCAAAGCACAGAAAGTTGAAATGCGCAGTATCTTCGTCATGCACATTACAACATATTTTCAAAAATCATTTTTTATTTCTCACTTCTTGTATCTTGTAATCTTAACTGTCGTGAATAAACAGCCACATAAATTTTCACATGACTGAGTACATTTCAATAAATCAAAGAGATATTTCCATCTTCTCTTCGTTAAAAAGTGAAACAACATCCATACTTCTTGCCGTGGAAAATCGATGGGGCATGATGTAAATGTGCTTTGCTCTAATTTTTTTCTTTGCAAAAAAACCTCAAGGATTAAACTTCTGAAAAGATCTCTGCAACGTACTTCTCGTCAGAAACACATTCACTCTGTTTTTATGGCATTCGTAATGCCATACAATTTTTTCAACCCTTCTATTATTCCAGGTCGAGTTTCCCCATTTGCGAAACAATTCCGTCATCATATGAGTAGTCGAGGCGCTGAGACTGTAACTATACGGCATGAAGATGGCACTACAGAAACACAGTTGGTAGGAACCTGCATTTTTGCTTTTTATTCTCTGCCCCTTCGCCAATGCACGCATGGGCAATTCCTTGTCTACCTCTAACATTTCTCCCTCACAACTGTCCCGAAACCTGATATGCGATCGGTGCAGCAAGTCTTAACTTCAGGATATTTGCAGAACATTGGATTTATTTACTTGCACACCGCTGGCAAAACGCCCATAAAAGAAGGCATAGGGAAGGTGGAACGGCGAAATCATTTCACCTGCCGGCTTCGAACAAATGTGACTGACATTTGATTGACTTCAGGTGTGCCGGCAATCTATCGAAGCCGACTTCTTTCACATGGATTTTGGCAGCACTTTTTGCTATCCAAATAATCGAACTAGTATCGATTACCGGCACTAGTGCAAAACCAAGATCTTGCAATTCATTTCCAGCATTATGAATCAAGCCATTCAAACGCTGAATGTTCTTTTGTCATACATAAAACGAAGTTTAATGCCACTCACTGTCAATCAAAAGTCTTTCTCCGTGGAGGAGTTTTTCTGAGTTTTTCACACTTCCGCTCTCGAGAAATCGCAGAACTCGAGAAGGAGGTTTTGTGCAAATGGCAAACTTCCTGTTCTGGGCTTAGAGGACAGAAAAATTCGAATTTTTCACTCGTTCTGTTTGCGACATTCTTGTCAGCTGAGAGGCGTCGATGAAGGTCAATCCGGTAAGAAATCGAAATTTTGATATTGTAGATCCATATTTTGCAGCCTTCATTTTCTCGAAAAATCAGTCTCACACGCTTTTTGCTTATAGTTTTGCGAAGATCATAGCCTGTTTTGAGCATTAGATGGAAAAAATTGGGTTTTTCACTCTCTTTCCGTCTGTGACGCTTTTCGCATTGAAAGACGTTAATAGAGTCAACTCGATAAGAATCGGATCTTGAATATATAGAAATCCTTAATTCGCAACATTCCTCCAATGAGCATTTTCAGACCTGCTTTTCACATTCTTAAGTTGAAATTTTTTATCCTCTTTTTGTCCGTGACGCTCCTAGGAGGTGCGAAATGTCGATGACATTCAATTCGATAGGAGTATCTTGACTTTGTAGATTTCTCTATGGAAAATTCCTCCAATAATTGGTCCCACACCGATTTCTACTAATCTCAAGTTGATTTGCAAGGATTATGCCCATCGCATTAAACGAAATTCTCCTCCTAAACTTCTTCTTCATGACTCTGACGACGCCGAAAACTAGCGTATTAACCAGTTTCCGCCTCCATTCTGCACGCACATTTCCACCTCTATGAGTTTCGACCATGTCAAAACTGCACTGCACTGCAGGATGTGCGTAACCGGATATATTTGGCGCAATACACGGCGATCGCCTAAATTCCATCCGTTGATGTTGTTGTGCCGTCCTATTAATACCGTGTGTGTATGTGCCATTCAACGGTCGATCGTTTTTTGCACTATCTCTCTCGGCTCGCCTCTTCAGAATCATTGACCGTTATAATGTTTCCAAAAGTTTTTGTCTAACATTACAACAGTAGATGATTCGACACTATGCGTGTAGGAGATATGAGCGAACATCGATTTCGACGACGACGAACACGCTCGGTATTTTCTTGACGGAGAGACAGAGGGGGAGATAGGAAAGAAAGTAAACGTCACACATCACTGCTGCTGGTGCGCCTCAGCGACGCCACCACGGTAAGAGAGAGATCGTTCGCTGGCCGTCGCCTCTCTTCTTCGGCCCTACACAGGTTCAAGGACGTCATCCACACATCGGCCCCTTCGGGCCGACGAGACGGTTCATCTCATCTCAGTGTGGGCAGATTCTTTATCCGACACATCTACAATTCCTCTTCACATCTCTAGTGAAGGTAAACGTGTGAAGGAAAAAAATTTTCCTCCCTGAGTCTTCCAATTCCTAGTAAAGGAATCAAACAAACAAAAAGTCTCATCACTTTTCAACTACATCCAAACTGTATCAACATAGGTCAGCTGACCTTCTCCCTCTTACGGCTCAAAGTGCCGATATTATTATACCACCTGTACTGCTTCTTTGTTTACTTTCTTTTCGAGTATCAATTCTGCATAAACTCTCAAGTACGCTGTTTGGACACACTAGAGAACTTGACACATTCTCGTATCCATACTTTCTCTCACAATCCTGTTCTCGATGTGACTCTGAATTTTTCATAGTCGAAATCGATTTCGGTGGAGTTCTCTGTGGAACTCTCCTCTCTTCCGTGGAAATCGCGTAAGTCTTCTGATCTTCGTATTTCCTCTGCTTTTTGGCTAGTCTAGTCAACTGATCGACTGATTTTGTCGATAACTTCTTCTGCTGGAACGAACGAAAAGCAAGTTCCACTTGTCATTAATTAATTATCTGTCAAACTTACATCGAATCATCAAAATTCTAGGAGTAAGTTCGTCTCTGACATCCAACTACTACAGCCGTGTAACCGGTTCGCAGTACATTCTTTTTCCTTCGTTACAAAATAGATTTCCAACATCGGAAAACTATCTTACACTTGACACTCGTCGCAACCCATCTCTCAGGATGGTGTGAAAATATTTACTTCTAACAATATTCCGTCCATCACTTCCGCAATCAGCAACACTCTCCCTGTTGCCTGTGTGATGTGATGGTGTATTTGTGTGTGTGCGACGTCTTTCAGTAGCCACACCCAATGAAAACGAGTAGGTGGCACTGGTAGGTAGCAGGTGGCAATTGGAGAATACAGCACTTTTTCACATCTCGTTTGTGCCCTCGGTTATGATTCTCATTATTCGCTGATTCGCTCCAATCCGAGCGGATACGGGGCCAACAAGTCTCTTTTCGTTGGGTGTTCGTGCAGATTCAATCTCTTCCAAATCTAAGTGTGTCACCGCTATTTCCGTTATTTTGTACCGGCGATTACACACCCGCCCAAAACGTGGAGAAGATTTACTATTTCAGTTCCTTCCCTCTTCAACAAACGCGTGGCCTTTACGCGTTTTCATGACTCTTTTTCAGCATCTCTTTTCTCATGACGCTTGGTCATAAATTATTCATATGCTATGCGAGAATTTTTAGATGCTTCGCCCTGAAGACGAACCTGCCACGACAACAGTTGATTTGGGCCCGGCAAAAGATATCCAACATACCGACGACTACACTAAACCCGCACAAGCAAGGTCAGTGTCCGTCTAATCCGACACGATGAGAAAAATTTCGTGCGTATGTGCGCCTCGGCGGCGCTTCGACACCGATATCGTGTCCTTTTTCCTTCATTTGTGTTGATCGAGATATGAAGTTCATCAATTTTTTTGCGTTTTAGCCCAGTTCAAAAGGATAAGAAGAAACTGCAATTCCATATGGCCAACAAAATTCAGATCATTCCAAATAATCGACAGGGTCAACTCAATACCGGATATCTAGGCACAATTGGTGGTGTGCTGAAAATTGCCGAAATTGTAGGTCCTTCACGATTTTTTCCCAACACAATTTCGCCAGTTCTTGATCGATAGAAGAGAGAAATATGAGAAGAACTCTTTTCGTCTCTCCTATCGATCATTTAACAATTGTCAAGCACTGTTTACTGCAAAGCCAACGGCGCACAACCGGCTCGCTTTGTATGAGCTGCTGAATGCAAAAGTCCAATAGCAAATGGAGAAAACAAGCAAAAATACAATAACAAAGAGACAGTAACCTTCACGGTTTTGCAGGAAAATTCCTAGCAAACCTTTCAATTACCTTTCAAGTAGCACTTGTTAAGTAGCATACTTGAGTTTAAGACCTTTTACGAACTTTCTTTTTCTCGAAAGTTTTCTTCTTCAGATTCTGTCTTTCGTCGCTTTCATTTTGGCCATATGCGCGGATAGAAGGTCTACAACCGCAGCATGGACCGAACATATCACTTTCGAGACGATGATCGTTGTTTGTGTGTTACTTGCTGGCTATGTTTGCTTTCCGCATCTTACTATTCGTGACGAACAAACCAGGGAGGGACTGATCGTTGTGGTTCGTTTTTTTTTTTCATTTTTTTCAATTTTACACCACTCATGGGTGAAATTCCGCATTCTTTTTAGTAGAAGAAACTCCAGGAAATTTCCTCAAACTAGCTGCAGGCAACTTCCTCGCTTCCTCTCTTTACAACGTCACCATTTCTTCCAAAAACTTTCTTTCGAACATTTCTTCTCGCTTTTTTTTCAACCCGAACACTATCGTAATTGTTTTCCGTGCGTCTGCTGCATTTCATGCATGCACTAAGACTTTTTATGTATTCGCGCATCGACTTAAGTTTACGCGCAGTCTTTCGGGAGTTTTTGCTGAGAAGATTTATTCTCGGACTATTTCGAAAACGTAACCTTCGGGGTCAATGACTCCATCATGGATAATGTCGTTTTTGAAATCGTAAACTTTCTCTTTTTCAGGAACTGCTCTTCTATGGGATCAACACACTATTCTACTTTATTTCGATATGGTTGATGGTACATTTATCGGCCAGTTGGGGCACAGATGGACGGGGTGCAGCTATCATGACGGCGGTAAATTTTGACAAATTCCAATTTTCATGAAGAAAAATTGATTTTTGGCTAATTTCAGATCCTCTGTGTGGCTCTGACTGTGATTTTTGCAATCGAAACATTCCTCAAACTCAAAGCATGGCGTGGTGAAAATGAACCAAGCGGAAAAGTGATCACAACCGGAAATCAACCTTCTCAGAGCTAAATCTCGCACTGTCAGCACAGCTCACTCTAGTCAGCCCGATTTGCACACTACTATAAGCTATGAAAAACGAAAAATAAGCAAAATTCTACGTTGATATTGTTCCATTTGCTCGGATAGGGCGCTCAAATGCTAACAAGCCCTGCCCATCTCACTTATGCTAGACCTCTATGTGGGTGCGAGCTGCGCTCTGTATAGAGTCGAGTTCAAAGCATTTCTTTTTTGTTTTTATCTTATGCATTTATCTGTCCGACACTGTCATGATTGTTATTTGATGAACATTATCATCTTAGATTGTCATGTTTGTGACAAAATATGCCGCTTGTGATAAAATTTTGAAAAATCGAGGCATCTTGTAGATGTTTTGGAAGCCTACTTACCAAAAAATCGAAAAGAAAAAGGTATTTGGAAAACATAAAAACTCTAACGGCATATTTGGGCTAGAACAGGGGAGAGGTGGAAAAGAAGGCAGAGCGAGTCTAAAGAGAGGGAATGAGAGAGTCAGAGAGAGCGAGAGAGAGAGAGAGAGAGAGAGAGAGAGAGAGAGAGGGAGAGAGAGAGAACGCAGGCACACCACGTATTGTCCCACACGGAAATGTTTGAAAAAATTAAAAACCACAGTGTGAAAGTAAGAAGCTCACCAGCGTTCATGCGCTAACAAGAAATCTACCCAATTTTCTTTGGATATTTTCCAGGATTTGAAATTAATGCAAACACTTGAAAATCCATAGACCCCTCGTAGACTTTTTTGTCCCAATTTCCCCAATAATCCTGCCCGAAATCGGTCAGTAAACATCGAATAAACAAACAAACTCTGCTTCTTACGATATCCGCTACAAAAACCAAATCCTAACATCTACTAATCCTCTTATATTTCCAGTGCAAATCAACAAATTCTCCCAATGTTGCGCTTCTATTTACACTACTCGTATATTTGCACGTGATGAAGAAAAAGACTACGCAACTCCTCACGACCGTGATCCATGAATTATACTCAAAAGGTTACTCTAAAATAAGAAACGCATCTTGCGCTTTTCAAATTTTCATGACATTATTAAAAAGACTTCAACATTCTGCAAGCAAAGAAAATATAAAGTTGTCAGAAATATGTCTATCACCTTCATCAATCAATTTCTATGCTATCGAAAACTCGAACCGGATAATTAATCAGTGCAATGTGACCTTCATCATACAAACACGCATGTCGCTTATATGGAATTCCCGCAATCTCTCATTCGCACCACACCTTTCTTGCACGGGCTAATTAGCTCGTAACTCTGCACAATAGAACAAAATGCGAGTGACAGATCGGGAGCGGATCAGCGCAATAAAAAATGCGAATCAGTAAGTGCATAATTCGCAGTAGCGTTGCTGGTGAAGCGTTCTAATTTCAAACTGTACGATGATAGATAAATTATGAAAGATTGTTCAACAAGAAACATTTGATGTAGAGTTTGATGACAAGCGCACAAAAAAAGTCGGACATCAAAGAAGTAATTCTCAGCAAGAAATAGTGATTGATGGTACAAGTATCGGAAGAATAAAATTTTCAGCAAGTTGATAGCTTTCTTTTTTGAGAAAAGGAATGGTCAAAAATCATGATAGCACGTGTGTCAAAATTTTATGAATGTTTGCAGATATGATAAAGCAAGCACTAGAGAAAGAAATTTTCTCAGCAAGGAAAGAAAGTTGATAATTTGGAGGAAAGGGGAGCTGTTCTCTGACAGAGACAAGGTTTTGACAAATGCGAAAAATGGTACCAAAAATTAGAAAGTCAATAAATGATGTTTTCGTTTCAAATGCCGAGAAGATGTTGCATTCTCAAATTTGGGCACAGAGAAACGTGGATTGATATTTTGAACTCGCAACAACGAGATAAAGGTGGAAACCAGGCAGGAGCAAATTGCAAGAAAACGAACGCACCTTCTTCTTCATTAGCTCGCCTTTTGTCATGGCGAAGTTTTTCACCGTATCAGAAAACTTCTTTTTCTCATTCACTATCTGAAAAAAGACCGAAGTCAAAGGAGCAAAACACTGCTGACTTTATGATGAAACAGGGGCAAAATTCACAACTCAACAACAACTAATTCAAAACTCACATATTCTATAACCTCATCAGTGTAGTTGAAATTCATGGCTTTCTTGATATCTTGCTCCTTCTTTTCTATATGGTCCATAGTCGGTAACGAACCGCACTAAATTCAACCATACAGAAATGAAGGTGCAAATGTCATATACTGCACCTCTTCTTTGGTGACAGCTCTCCAATCAGAAAACTCTTCTTGGCCAAATTCAGCATTCGAAACGAATTCGATGCGAAAAACACGTTCATCGGTGCCTAAACCGAAACATTCAACGAAGAAATTTCTTGAAAATCTAGCTCACCATATTTCAGTTTCAATCCCTTGTTGGTCTTGAGATTGTCGAAAGTATAAACTCTATTCATTTCCACCACATCCATAACTTGGGAAAGCTAAAATATACGGTAACTAGGACAACATATACGAGCATGACATGTATGCCATTAAACAGTCTTTTGGCAGGAAAGAACATCTAGCGAAAGACAAAAGTCTCATTTAGGGATCGGCCATACTATTTCTGCTATTCCTGTGATTCTCGCACAGTTTAGGCGCCGCTTAAATGAGCGTGTGTTGTGTGTTACGTGTTGTTTTACGCAACATGCGCTCATTTGAACGGCGCCTAAACTGTGCGGGAATCGCAGTAATCCAGGAATCGTAGGAATAGCAGGAATAGTATGGCCGATCTCTTAGAAAAAAACACAGAGACCTATCGCAACGAAAAAAAACAAGATCGAATTGCAGTTACATTGAAAAGGAATGGTAACAAACCCTATATCGGGACTTTCCCGCATATCCACCAGCTCCGACTCGCACAAAACAGCCAATAACAGTCTTCGCAAAGAATGGAGCATAAACAATTTTTGCAATTTTGTACCGAGACATTCGAGCTCGTGCTAGCTCCTGCACCGTTTCCACCTAGACACAAGAATGTAGTGTCTCATCAACTGATTATTCCAAAAGCAGTTACCTCCCGTCTAGCCTCAGCTTTTGCTTCGTCATCTTCGCTACCCGCATCTCTCCTAGGTGAAGACTCCCGAGAAGACGATCTCGATGAAGCGCTCGACGAAGAAGATGACGACGATGAGGATGAGCCATCACTATCGTCTTTTCCAAACACGGCATCGAAGGAAAGCGCAGCTTTCTTTGCTAAACATGATAGATGCAAAAGAAAAGATTTTTGGTGAGCAGGGTCTTTCCTGATATCGGTTAATGCTATTAACGCTGTTATCTGCTGAATTTCCGAAAGAAGCTTGACATTTCTAAAAAAAAATGTGGTTTTGGTGACTAATTCATCAATATCGATTGCAATGCTTGTCAAAGCCATGAAGCAGTGATTGATGTCGATGTCACATAAGGAATCGAAAGTCGTAAATCATGCAAATCCAGCTTTTGTTTCCTAGCTTTTGCTACTTTCAACTTAGCTCGAAAAGTACAAGAAACAATAAAAAATAGACATGAAATCAGCTTATCAAGACACAGTTACTGATAATATCCAACTGGAGCGGTCACAGCAAAGTATCTAACATGTGAAGCGTCATACCTGCTTTGGTTTCCTTATCTTTTCTCTTGGCCAAAAGATCTGCCATAGCATTCTTTTGTGTGGCCTTTTTATGAATGTCTGATGGTCGATGGAATTTCATATCTACTTCAGAATCAGTATCTGAAGCAGGAGCAGCTTTGGTCTTGGCTGTATTATGCGAGGTATGGGCTCGAGAGGACTGAGGTTTTTCTGAAGGCACAAAACCATCAGAATTGTAAACTAATAAGAGAGAATGGTACCTTCATCGCTATCGCTTTCGTTGATCCTCTTCTTTTCCTCCTTACGTTTCTTTTCTTTCTTCTCTTTTTTATCTTTCTTTTCCGTACCTCCAGCAGATGCATTCTTAGCAGCTGCCAACTTTTCCTCTATTTGCTTTCTAAGAATTCGGAATTTGGTCATAACGTGTTTATCTCAAGGCCTTTGCAATCACCTTGTCCGACGCATTTCTTGTTGTTCCATACGGTTGAAAATCTCTTGTTCTCGATCCTTCTCATTCATAGCCATTACTTGCCTTCGATCCTCTTCGTCAGCAAACAAATCGTCATCCATCTCACCCTAGAAAAACATACGTATTTGATCAGCTGAGCTTGAATGAAACGGCTGCGACATATAGAGCAACATGGGTTATGTGTAGGGCTTCACGTTGAGGGAAAGCGCAATTATTCAAGAAGCCAGTTGAAAAAAATGATGATATTATGAAGGAAAGGTAAAGCTCACCCGATCGCTTTCTTCACTCATGGCCCGCTTTCGCTTAGCGTTTGTAGAAGCAGCTCCCTTCTTCCCCAATGACGCAGATCCTTTTCGTTTTCGACTCGAGGCAGCACGTCCACCGTCGCTGTCGGAGCCATCATCCGAGTCAGTATTGTCCGAATCAGAAGAGCCTAGATTTGTAACAGATAAAGTTTTCTGATAAACTGCAGGAAGCACCAGAGTACTCTCGATAGTTCTTCGCTCGTGAAAGTGTAATGAGAACAATTGGAACATGAGATTTTTCGCCAATAATACCTTATCTATGTGTGTTGTAACTACGTAACCAATCGATTATATACGTTTTCAACACTGTGATCTCGAAATTTGTCGGTAACCAAACAATTTCGAAAAGTCACCAGCAAGTTATTTTATCGGTATTTCTGTTGATTGATTTAATCAACAAAATTACGTATCCAACTCAAGCAACTGCTCCCTGAACCATGTAAAACTTCTTTTCGAGATAATGAAAGGATGAGAGAGATTGCAGGAGATGAAAGATCCTTGAGCAATATCTATGGATCAATGTCTGGGGACTCGCTGCTCACATTTCATCAAAATGAACTTCCTCTTGGATTTTGTAAGAAGATCGTATTCAATATCGAGATGAATGAGTGGAAAGGCTCCAAAAAGGCATCATAATGCTCCAACAACAGCGAACAAAGTTGAAGCAATTTGATCCCAGCTACAAACCTCTTACTTAGGATTGCCAAGAAAGAGTGTCATTCAATCTGTAACGAAGAGACAGCGAGCTTGGACTTGTTCTTCCCTATTTTTGAGCCGGCAAAAATTAAGATGAGATAAATCACGAATGCAATCTCGCTAACTACATGTTCAAGCCTGTTCAAAATTTGAAAAGCGTAATCGAATCTCCTAGTCAAATACGCGTAACAGCCATTACTACACTATAGCCCTTGCTTTGCTAAGCAGACAGGATATATTGGAAGACAGACGGGTTCTGCTTTTTTGTTAAAGAAAGCTAACAATTTGTGGGAAAAACATAAAGGAAACACAAAGCTTCGTAACGACACACCAGCACTTTCGATGATCGCCTTGTTGCTTGTATTTCGTGTTGGTCGCTTTTTACTTTTCTTGGCAGAGCCATCAGAATCATCAGAAACCTGAAGCAAATTTTCTTAAAAACAATACATCAACGTTCTAGAAAGGCATTACTAACCATAGTAAGTTGCATCTACGACAAACGCATAGAAAAAAAAATTAGAGTAAGGTTATTTTATACCTTTGGCTTCTTATCTTCATCATCGGACGAAGTATAGTTGGATGACGACATTTTCTAGGATCACTCGATCAACGAGAAAAATCCTTAAATCATACAATTTGCCCAGTTACTGTTAGTCACGCCTCTTGTGTGTTTCTACTTAATAAATAACATGGGTTGAAATCGTTTCTCTAGTGTGAAACGTGTAAATCGATTCTTTCATATGTCATCATCGACGTCAAGGGTGTTTCTGGAATTTTCTCAAAACACTTGATGTGGGACCTCTTCATAAACTAACATTTCTACTATTTTATTTGTTGTAAGACGTCGATTCCGACATATGAAAGATAGCTGAGCCTGATGCAACATCTGTTTTATACATTCTGCTTTGCGCAGTCGATCCAGAGAATCTTTATGATGTCAAATAATCGATTTGCATGATATGAAGACAAATGCAATGTACGAAAATGTGACCAGCATCGAATGAAATGACAAGAAAAGAACTCTCCGCAGATATAAACAAAACAACAGAACAAGCATTCAGAAATAGAGTAAACAATCAATACTATCGTTTAAGTGCATAACAAGCGTGCACTAGGTCGTGAGGCCAACGGTTCAGGACAGCGTCCATTGTACTGTGTTGCCAGAAGCATTGACCCAACATTCCATTTTTAGCGGGTAGACGGTCCAATCGATAAAATCGTCGATATTGTTGTCGTTGAAATGTTCATGCATTGTCATCGTGGATCACATCATGGGTTTGATCGAGAATCTCCGGATGACGGTTGCAGCCTCAAAATCCACACTTTTCTCTGGCTGAAACTTCGAAGCAACGGCCATCTGCTGTCGACAATTCTGCAATAAGCAAAGATAGATTATATGCGAATTGAAGCTATACAAAAATGGCAAAGGTTAGCATTACCTAGTCCGACAATTGTGACAAATGTTGCAAGTCGCAAATCGCGGAAGCGATTTCCAGTGGACCATTATCGTTTCGATCTCATCTTATGGTACGACGATTGCAACTTTGCATCAGGTTCATTGACTCCATCGTCCACATCAAAAGCCAATTTGTTCCTGAAAGCTTTTTAATTGATGCATTTATGAGGTTGAATTCGATGAATCAGAGTCGTCTGATATTTAGGCATAAGTGAAGGGCAACAGACATTTAAGATGAGAGATTCACCACAAAGCAAGTGCGTTCTTATCAAAACCAAAATTATAAATAAATTGGCAACGGTGAGCTTTCCCCAAATGTAAAAGCTTCATAAAGCCACCTCCCGACTTGCTCTTTCCCCATTTTCGAACCCTTGCTGAGGAATTACGCAATAGGAGAAAGGAAAGGAAGAAAAAGAAGGACGAATAAGGGCAACAAACGAGACTACGAAAAAACAAGGATGACACGGCGCCCATCGATGAGTGCGTCCGCAATTCTGCGTCGGCTGTCGACGGCTTGACACTATTTAACACGTACCGTCGGTAGAAAACGTCTCTGCTTCAATAATTCTCCGGCCATCGGGTCCACAGGCACTTGCTCAAGGTATGCTAGGCATTTTTTGCTTTCATGTGTTGCGGCCGAGGTGTCGCTTTTCTAGTATTTGAAAATTCATCTTTAAAAAGGAATTCATACCTTTAGGGAAAGTGGGTGGGGCTTGTGCTTTGAAAGTAGCTTATCCGCTATACTGCACGTGATTTTCCGTTTTTTCTTCTTTAGTGGTACTCTTCCTATGGAAGCTACACCTAAACGTTATTGACAGCATTAATTCTGTTTGCTGATTCACGTCAGATTTTGAAATTCGAATTTGCATCATCTCTCGCTCACGACGTAGATTTCCACTCTTCTCGTCGTATTACTGCTCGCTCCCGCTAGTATCTCCATTCAGCATCGACACTACGTGTATAGAAGCTCCACTATGGCAACTCAACACTCTGCAGCTCCAGAAGATTTGCCCAACGATCCAGTGAGTCAGTTGAAGGTGAGCTGTTGAGAGGCATGCATGCAAGTCAATAGCTTCTGTTGGAAAAATTTGGTTTTTTGTATTATTCCATCTCTCCCATTGGGTAGAATAGTTTGGTAGAGTGGGTTAGATCAAATCCCTCTTCACCTATTTCGTCAGTCCCAAATTGGAGCTGTCAGAACAAATTCTTGAAGTGGGAAGTGTTTATACTTTCCATTTTTTAGGAACTCCTCTTTCCATGGATGTATCTGAATTTTGTAGTGATCATTCTGAGATTGAGGTAATCGAGACCGCCGTTGCACATTTTTCTAATATGCTCGAACTTGTGTGTACCTCTTGATTCTAAGCGGTAGATCGTATTGGAACGTGCCAATAAGTACGCTTACATTCAATACCCGCAAATTCAGGACTTGTAACCCATCTTCAGAGCGGTCTTGATTTACCCGGTCACTGATTAGACGATAAGTTTTTATTAGTTCGAAATTTGTAAATTTGTAAATCTGTGCAAAGTTACGGCTGGAGAGCTCACTTTTGGCAAAATGTTTCCCCAACTCTCGCATCATTTCCCCTTCACAGATTACAGCTTTTTCAAATATAATATTTATGAGATAGAGCGATGTAGTTAAAGGCAGTGGATTGGCATAATGAACCCTCGTCAGATTTTGGTAGCGTTAGGTGGTAGACCACCTAAGTATGTACATCGTAGCTCCATTCCCTTCATGCGCTGAGTTTTGAAAACGCACTTCAAAACTCCACCAGTCCCGCCCATTTCCCTTGAGTAGACGTCATTGGTGGAGTAGTGAAGCGCGTTTTCAGGACTCAGCGCTTGAATTGGAGGGCGGGGAGGGGCTAAAGTGTACTTGGGGTTCTACTAACGAACGCTACCAAAATCTGACTAGCGGATATTTTGCCGATCCACTGCCTTTATGTACAGCTATCCACTACTTCATATCTTATTAGTTAATCTCTAATGATCGATTCAAAACTCTTTATTCTTGTCGCCAAAAAGACTCCCACACATTATCAGAGGGTTTTGGGAGACCAGTATGCGTACGATTGATGGAATTTTTATCTGTATCTCTGATAGGTGGCCTAATTGTGGCTCTGATTTCGAGGAAGTTCGTTTTTGATAAAAATGGGCTATTGTATGCTTCTTGACAGCTCCCTATTGTTGTGGTGCTTACCCTTGGTGTGTATTGTCAAGACCATGTGCGCGTGACCTAAGTTGTTCTAGTTTCATAGCACATCCCTTCTTGTTTACCAGTTTCATCCTGATGGTCGACGTCCAATTTCTATATGTGTGTATATCTCCGGATAGCTCCTAATCAGGACGACTAATAGTATTTCAAGCTGATTTTCTCACTAGCTCTTTTGCTGCACCGCAACTCACTGTAAGTAAGGTGCATGAAAACTCTGCCTTCGCAGCTTTTTTTTGCAAACGCTCGCGTGCACATTTTTGATGGAACGGCGCACACAGTAGTACAGCTTTGCTAGTTTTTCACCTTTGTCACGCATCAGAAGTTGTGGGTTAGGCTAGTTTGTACTTAGTAGAAGATTCACTTTGTTTTGCTTCGTAAGTTTAATCCAAAGCTAGAGTCGCTTTAGCTTGTCCTTTGTGCAAACACTCTGTGAGCTGTATAGACTGTGACCTGTTCAGCAATCCATCCTGAAGATCTCGGAAGGCATAGAAAAAATGGGTGTTGTTCTGGGTGCTGCCAAATCCGAGGCAAACGCCGCAGCACCATCACCAGACAGAACTTTGGCAAAACGCCCTCCTCCAAAAACGAAAACACCCCCAAAAAGTGATAAGGAAGCAAACAAGAACGCCCAAAAACCAAAAGATTCAAAGCCGTCGAACCAAAGTGCGGATGAGGTGAGATGACATGATTTATTTAGCTAGTGCTTTCGTAGTTTTTTGAACATTTCATCATTGTTATACACTCAATAATGTTCCAGATGAATTATTTAGTAATCTGTTCGCTGAAACAGTAGCCAATATTGAACGTTATGAACTTGAACGCTTTCAGAAGACGCTTATGAAAAGAAGAAAACTAGTGGGAAAGAAATCGAAAACGTTTTCACATTTTGTTTGTTTGTATGATGAGTCAGAACATACTTAGTCCCGGAGTCTTATATTAGATACCATTTTGGCTCCTTGCAGTCTCAATATTCTTTTTTTTACATACTGTAGCCAATTTCAGCATAGTACCATGAGTGCAGAAGAGAAGAAGGCTCAACGAGCACAGAAAGCGGCTGAGAAGAAAGCTCGAGGTTTGTCTGAGTTTCAATTCGTAGTTCTCTCTTGTCATTTGATCTTGTCAGATTTGAACTAATCTCTCTTCTTATCTAGCTGAGGCTGCAGCTGCGAAAAAAGCCGCCGCTTCGCAACAGAATGCTGCTGTCGGTTCAAAAGAACAGAATAAGAAACCGGATCATGTAAATAATCAGAAACCAAAGCAAGTGAAGGGTGCTGCTGCTCCAGCAAAGACGGAGAATGGTGAATTGAATCATGCTCAGGTAAAATATTTTTTGAAGTTTCTCTTGAGGTGATTCTGTGTTCTTATTCTGTAACATTAGAATGAGGCGAATAACCATGCTCCCGGTAAATCCGCTCTTCGTACTGAGAATAAACATCAGACTGCGCGAGAAGTCAAATTTGGTATGTCATATATGAATATTGTGTCGTAGCAGTCACGTAAATGTCGTTTCTGCAGATTTTTGTGCCAATGTTGTCAAATCACCATCGGATGATAGTATAGGAAGCGATGGTAAGTGTCAAGATTCTTTACCAACTTCTTTACATTATTTTTATTTTTAGTGCCGGTTGGACCAATCTCCGAATGTCCCGATCCTCCCTCTACGGCTCATATTCATCCTGCCTTTCTTAATTTAGCTGTCTGTTGCGAGCAAGGAATGATCGATGAAGTTGACTCACTATGTCAAAATTTTATTTCCGCCTTCAAAGAGGTGAGTTGTCAATTGCGGCGGACCGGTTTACTCAATCGTTGTTTTTTCGTCGTTTCTCAATACATTTGGTGTCATTCCGGTTTCAATGTTTTTTAGCGAGTTTATGAGTCCATACCTGCCGAAAATAATGACTGTAATATCGGAACTAGCGTTTCTGCGGAAATTCATTTATGACTCAGAAGCGCTCAACCGTACTTTCGAACCTTCCAGAGATCTTCGTATCTCATTTACTGTAGTCAAATTTCGCAACCTGACATTACAGTATCTTGCTGACTGGTCGTCTCAGCGTCAGAAAGAAGGCAAAGATCCATCTTCATTAGGTCATGATTTGGATCTCGCAATACGACCGCAAATAGCTCATTTGACACAAGACAGTGAGTTCAGTATGTATTGAACACTTTCTACTTCGAATGTGGCTCATCATATTAGTGTGCTAGGTCGATGGCCCTTGCCTTATGCTCTCGGCAACATAGTACGACAGCTGAAGAAAGAAATCATAAAAACTGGCACAGCGGATAGGAGCGGTCGCAAGCAGGTGAGGAGATTCTTCCATTCATGTCGAGATTTTTTATTTTTGTTTTTTTAGACCGTTGAAGATGTTCAGAAATGGCTTGATGATTGTGCGGAAGAAAATTTTGGCATTGCATCCCGTGCCATTTCTGAATATCTCATGGGCAAGATGAAATCCGCACGCAATGTCGTTACTTATGATTGGTGTCCACTTGTTAGCAAACTGTTGCTGGGTTCCGTAGATAAAGGATTTCAACCGGTATTCACAGTGGTTGATGCAGAAATGGAAGGCAGAGGTTGGTTTTTGAGTTAGAGATCTGGCCAAATTGTGATATATGCGTATATGCGCTTCAGGATTGCGACACATCAAAAAATTCACTGAGCGTGGAATCCGCTGTCGATATACGGACTTGAACTCAGTTGGAGCTGTTATGGAAAATGTGAGTTTGATACAATTTGCAGTTCTCTTTTTGTTCATTCCATGTTTTTTTTTTCATTTTCTCGCCCGGCATCTCGTATATCAAGCTTACACCCTCACATTTGTTTTTCCCATTTCGGAAAATTCAATACAGTAGTTGCAATATGAATCTCCCCATTGCCATCATAAGTTGGATGTCTGAGGGTGGAGAATTGAGGTATCACTATTTGGACTTTCAAATCTTTCAGGGTTCCATTGTCATTCTCGGTTGCGCGGCCGTTTTGTCTAACGGTAACGTAGTTGCACCAAAAGGGAGTATGTTACTCGCTCTAGCTGCCAAAGCTTTCAACGTCCCTGTACTCATTGTTTCGCAGACATTCAAATTTGTAGATAAGGTAAGTTCATGGCCTCCTAACTTTCCTTTGCTTCGCTCAATTTTGAATTATTGCGATTTGAGGTCCAAGTATGCGGCCGAGTTGCCTTGCTGGGAAAAGAGTCATCTGAACTCATACCTGCAGATCTCGTTACTGCCATAGTAACAGACATACGAGTGCTGCACCCTACAGCTGCACCGGCCGTGCTCAAAGCGAAAGCACTGGATTTGGAATAAGTTTGTTGCGTTGCGCTTACATCCTTCGCTATGGGCAGGTCTTCGATGAGTCGTTGTTTCTGTATTTTTATTGGTGTCTCTTAGTTTATGGCTATTTTTGTTTTTTGCTGTTTGGTTAATTGTGCGATTGCTGTGATCATTTTTTTGGGGAATATCGTATGCTGCTGAGAACAATAACAAAACAATAATTGTAGAAGTGTGCTGTTTTTTTTTCTTGGAAAGAGAGGTGATAATAATAGGCGATCGTTACTTGGTAGACAGCTGTACCACCATACTTCCGTTTTTTTTTGCAGTTCAAATGTCCTTTCACTTTTACCAAGCGTCTGCATTGTCTTCAGAGTCACAGGAATTATGAGGTGATAATTTAAAGGCTTTCTTCTAGGCAAACGTTTTTTTTTTTTGCACATTGTTGCCTTTCCTTCTGTTTAGTTTTATCCAGTATTTTTGTGTACAATATATATTTGACTTTTTCCCATTTTTCCCACCAACTTTTACCTTGTTACCGCGCCTTTGTGTCTTTTTTGATGCAGAAAAAGTATTATATGGCTGTTTTGTTGAATGATTGAAAGTTTATAAACAATGTACCCGTTGTAAGTGAAGATATGATACAGAACACATATGAACATACAAATCAGGAAGGCTATAACGAACAACCTAGAAGAGTAGGACGAGCACTGCTAATGCAGTGAAGATTCCATTGATGATTGCTGAGTTCCTCATTGCCTCATGTATTGGAGCGATTGTAGTTGCCACTTCTTCTAAATGAATCATTGAGTAATTTTTTGATGAATTTAAGTGCTTGAGAAGAAACTTTGTGAGGATGACTGAATCTAACGAATAGGTGAATGACTACTTTACAGCGCATTAAGTTCTGTAATACACGTGGTCAACTGCGCGAAATATATCATAGCAATCCCAGCGAAAACACTGATTTTCAAGCGTTTACTGTGTAGTTGTCGTAAAATTGTCTATAGGAGGACCAGCAACAAAGGCAGAGTAAGGTCTAGCTGCCGGACGAAGGCGCAGAATTGAGGGTTAAAGACTCAGGCCGCCGGGGTTCCATAGCCGCCCTGCATGAGGTGCAGGTACCTTTGTCTCAGGCAGTGGTTCCGCGAAACGCCATAGGCCTAAGGCATACCTCGAGCGACTCCGATCGCTGGGCGATTCGGCACAACAGCGACTCTTCGTAAATCGTCGGTAATGCGCTGCCTTTGGTCAGAACTTGCTTTGTTTGCAACACCTTACACAAGCTACTCAAATATGCGTCCGAGGAGCGCGCACGATAAATTTGTAGAAATCTGGCAAATCGCCAAGTCGCGTGAAATTCGATTCGGCCGAATCGCGTGAGGTACCGTCTGCGCCCCAGAGAGGTTCCCATGTGAACCAGCGTGCGTACGTGGTGCGATGCTGCCTTTCGCTCTTTTTGACATGTTTATCCTGAGATTTCAACGGAAGTGCCCGAGGTTAACACGTTCAAAAGTGCGAAAGGCAGCGAGATGACGTGGTACCTATGGGAACCTCTCTGGGGCGCAGACGATATGCCTTAGGCCATAGGCTGGTCACAGGCGATAGCAGCTGGCGCATGTTTCTCCTATTTTATTTAATCATTTCTGCCGACTTTTGGAGGTATTTTGGTCAAAGCTACTCCATTGCATTTGAAATCAACACGGAATTGGACAAATTGCTGATCAAACGTAAACGCCTGCAGTTCCTCGCAACAAACGCTCGCTTATGCTGGCTTTTGGCACAAAGACGTCTGTGAGACGTGTCGAGACGCAGACTAATTAGATGGTCCGACAGTCTCCACGCCAACTGGGCGGTGCCCAGAATCTCCAGATGAGCTGGCACTTCCCGGGTGCTCGGTGGTCCACTCCCCATTGATGTCCCCCAATTTTATATACATGCTATAATGATAAAATCATCTAGTCAAGATTTGTTCTGTTAAGAAGCAGGAAACAAGGGTAGAGGGATCAAGTTACGAGAGTAACTCGTAGACTTGACAAACAAATTCGCCTTTGCCACTTTCGATTTCTAATTTCCCACTTGATCACGCCAGCTGCTGGGTTGTTCAATTGGAGCGAGTTTTCTTTTTCATTCAACTGGCCTTATTGCCATTCTGGATCAAACAAGGGGAAGAGGCTTTTGTTTCAAGTCTCCCCTTCTTTATCATAAAGATTCTAGCTTCTGGGCGTGGTATCGTACCTGGGACTTTGGTTTGGCTCTGAGCCACAACTCCATTGTCCTTTGGTGGTTCGGCAGGTTGTGGGAGTCGATAAGTTTTGATATCTGAGCACACGGCTGGCCATCTAGGAAAGAGACATTCACGTTTTCTGTAGTAAATGCGTTTGTCGCCTTACGCTCGAAACCACTTACTTGCTCACGACATTTGTATCTAAAGCCATCTTCTCCATGCTACCAAATGATCGTCGTGTCAAGTCGATGACCAAATTTGCCGTCTCAAAATCGCAGCGATGTGCGATGGCTGGTACATCGCAGTGCAATGTACATGTCACATATCTTGAAAGGAAGGATTGATATAGAACTGCACAAACGAAAAAATGACAATTCTGAAGACATCCAAGTTTCCCAGGTGAAAATGAACAACACTTACTCGCAACTTTCTGCTAAATACTGTTCAGCTCGTGTGGAATCTCCATTGAGAGCCAAATTACGGAAATTGTCTATTAACGACGTCACCGCATCATGATGACGAGTGCAGGATTTGATGCAGTCCACATTAGATTCGACTTTTTCGAGGCACGGAAATTTGGCACGAATCGCTGAAGTAAGACAGCAATGAAAACAAGCTTTCATTTGCTGCAAGTCATCCTTCTAGGAACCTATTTGCCAAAACTTATTCTTTAAAAGCATACAGTACGCAAGTGTAGTGCCTGAGCTCTATCTATTTGGATCTCTCTCTCTCGTCGCGTTACTGTCTGCGCTCCCTCAGAACACACGTTCATAAGCAGTGGCGCACAATCCTAATAATAACTCACTTATGACCAACATTCTTTTCATGTACTCATGCATCTTAGTTATAAATGGAAGGGGGGGGAGGAGCAATACATGGCAGAAGACCTCTGTTGTGTCTGTTTCGTAACTGTTTTGAAATTGAATGTGACATAAAAATAATTTTCCCATTGGTAGGTGCCAGAGTAAGCGAATATTTTGTTCGGGTTGGGGTCCCGCGCAGAATTGACGTCTTTCACCATGCTGGCATCAATCCAAGTGACGTCAATTCTGCGCCGGACCCCAACCTGAACAAAATATTCGCTTACTTTGGCACCTACCATTGGAGCAAGTTTCTATGGAAAAACCGTATACTTATTTCATCAAATGGGTGGCATTTTTCTACATTCTCCACCAAACGATTCATATAAAAATAAAACTAGAGACTGGAGCAAGCTGGCAATATACACAACTAGAGTATCTCTATCACCGCTACGTGAAGATCGTGCGCAATCCGCTTTATAATATTTCTTATTTGCATTTTCTCCAATCCAAGAACATAACTCACCATCAAAATTGTAAACGCAGTAGTGGTCGATGATTTCTGCACTTTTCATCAGTAGCTGATGTAGAAAACCGGGTTCGCATTTTGATGCGCAGTGTTGGAAATTGTGATAAATCCTGTAAGTAATTCGTGCATCTGTCCGTTTTTCACTTGAACAAGCTACGAAAGGTACTCACATACAGAAATTCTCGAAAAATGTTGTATTAGAAAACGCAGTGAGGAAGTCGTTATAGTTGAGCTGGAAAGTATTTATGAGTGTAAGCCAAATAATGAGAGTGAAAAAATAAGTTTGATTTATGGTATACATTGTAGAATTGGATGACCAAAGCTAAACCGAATTTCTGTCCAGATTTGTTTATATCTGTTTTTATTGATATTTAGCTCATGTTGATATTGAAGCTCACCTGTAAAAGTGAAGCAGTTTTTGTGTTTCCCAACTGCCTTCGTATTTGTTCCACGAACGTGAATGCACACTGTCCAACGCACGAATCTGGATGTGTTCCAGGACCGGGGCTGAAAGGATATGCTATAGATTTGTGTCTCTATCGCTGGATAGAATTATTAGGTTGTCTCAAAAGAAGTAAACTCCTTTGTTGAATAATTCAAGTTGCTTTTGTTTGCCTAGCAGGTTTAGGGTCATTCGATAGAGCGCAGCATGCTCTACAGCAAGACCACCAAAGATCCGCCTAAGTCGTTATACAGGCCAAGTTTGGAGCCAAAATTGAAAAATTTTTTAGCACCTAAATGGATTTGCGAAATAAAAATCCTGACCGTACTTTCAACTTGGCAAAAATATGTACGGTAGGCACACAGTAGTACTCAAATATGCCTTTATTGGATTTTTTTCGCGCGTAGAAAGCGAGGGGAGAAAGATAGTCCAAAAATGGCAAACTCCGCCCGAGCCAGGGGATCGTCTGGAAGCAGGCTGGACGTCGTTTTTGAAGCAAAAAGCAAAGGAGATATTGTTTCTGACATCGGGGTCTAGCACCAAGAATAAGTGCCATTTGGTCGAACACAAGCTTTTCGGATAGCTTATCACACGATTGACATGCTCTACCGTGTATGGTGAAAAGTGCGCGCGATTTGAAAGCAAGGCTAAAGTAAATAAATTGATTGTTTACAGCGCACACAGAATCACATGACATCAAAATTGAACCGTCTACATAGAGAATTATTTGCAAAAGAATTATGCAAAAATATTTGAACTTATATGAAGTATTACCTTTTCCAAAATTAGTCCGTCTCCAGACGATCTGAGATCGTCTGGAGCATATATTTCTGTCCTTACCATAAGTTTAGGATTCTTCTATCATGGACGGATTCCCCGGTCAAATATCTATCCCTGAGCATGAAGACATTTTCATATCATTGCCTTTCCTTTGTTGCTTGCCTTAATTTCTTCATAAATCGCTTTGTCAACTATAGCGCTCCAATGCCAATCTCTTGTGCATGCGTAGTAATCAGCTCCAATTTGACTTTCACTCTTACATCACGTTTTTCCTTTCAGACTATAAATCTTTGTTGTTTTCACTCTCTCCTAGCAGGTAGGTCAAAGGGGACTTCGTAAAACTTCCGAAAGTCAGGGGAGACTTTCATATAAACCCTAAAAACCGACTCGTGCCTGGCCCTGACTCCAGCCCCTCCCACATATGTTACTGTATACTACAAGCTCTAGTAGGTACATCCATATTCACTTCTGTAAGCGCTTTGGTGATCAATACGAAGTTTAACATAACGAACCGTAAAAAAGTGACATTTTCGCTATTTTGAATTCGCAGTGTTGAGTTCCAGAAAAAACTCCTTTGTCTACTGTATAATGACCAAGCTGGAGACCAGCAGAGATTTTTTGGCAGGGAAATCGTTTATCAAGGTAGTTAAAAAATTCTGATTTTTGGCTTCAATTTTTACCTGGATTATGCCTAGGGATCTTTGGCCGTCATTTCATAGAGCTTGCTTCGCTCTATCGAAATACCCTAAGTCAGCCAGGAAACAAAAACAGCTTGATTTATTTAGGAAAGAAGTTGGGTCTGGGGATAACCTAATTCTTTGTTTCCTGCATAAAAAAGTTTTGAAAAGAGAGATCATGACCTCCTAATCACTTTAATCTCCGTTTCGTCAACTATAGGCTTTTTCGGAACTTTTCAGTAGGGCGGAAGACTTGTAATCTTTTGGTCAACAAAGTGTAGTTAATTCACGAATTAGAAATAAGGTTGTGTAATAATTTCTGTTTTCCCCAATCTCTCAGGTTTTGATCACTAGGCTCCCTTCGGAACTCCTCGATGAGGGAAGGGGCCCAGGAAATTTTACAAAATTGCTCTAAAGAAAAGTGTGAGACCTGATCATATTTTGGGTTATTTTCTTTTGGCAGAAATTAGAATGGAGGTTTGACCCACTAATTTTTCTGTATCAGGTTATGCTATCAGTTATGATGGATAGATTCATTTCTGTTAATTGCTTCCTGTATCTTGATTGTGTACAGATGAATGTTTTTAGTCTTATTTCAATTTTGTTCAAGTAAATTCGTGACTATATATGTTGTATTTATGCAATACTAGCTGGGGCACCTGGCTTCGTTTGGCCTCTGTCAATACACTCTACGGAGATCGCCTTCCATACATCATTTTCCCATCCCTGTCCCACTTCTATATGGCGTTCGTCGCCACGACAGTCACAAATACGTAACAAGTCATGCATTATTATTATATTTTGTTTGTGTTTCCACGATTTGTTCGTATTTTTTGTTGTTTCTCTTAAGCATCGTCAGGCTGGAAACGACACCGCAAAAAAGTAGTCGACAGATAAGTGCAAATTCAATACAGACAGAAGAAGGAGCGGAAGAAGGATGAAATTTGTTAGGGGACGGATTCGGGTTATTTCATCCTATAGGGTTAGGAGGAAATCACTGCACTTATTTCAAAACGTTGACTTGAACTGGTCGTGGAGACCATTCTGTCGAAAATCCAATCGAAGAATAGTATGCCGTTACTACTGAATAACGCGGAGGATGAGATTTATATGAGGGTGAAGAAGAAGATGCGGAGGACCTAGCGCAACAGAACGAGCAGATTGCAATGGAGGAGGTTCTAGAAGAAGGAGGGAGCTCAAAGTGTGGCGGGCTCTAACTGCAGTTACGGGTACGATGTATGAGAAAGGAAGATTTAGAAATCACTTCTGAATAAGAAAATAGACGACTGCAAATTATATGTGCCTTCAATGCCAATCTCGCTGTATAGGCAGCAGAAAAGGGCGAAAATTATGATGAGATTGGTTCGGGACCGGCTTTTTATGTATAAAATTACCACAGCGTTTCGTCTTGCAGATGTTAATCCGGAGATAGGTCGTTAGGCTTAGAAGGAGAACAAGAAGGTCATGATAAACTAATTTGAACGACATTACCTGTGGGTGCTAAAGTGGATAGCGTTTTTGAAGATGAAGGAGGAGAAGATGTGCAGAAGCTAGCGCAACAGGGGAGAACGGTCAACCGCCGAGATTTTTATGCAAATCATCGGCACGAAGCCCAGTTCAGCGCTATGCGAACCCTCAAAAAAAAAATAACAAAGTGCTTTGGCCTACTGGTCTGAAGTTGGCACTCGCTAAGTTTTAGGGACTTTGACGAATAATTGAGTATTGACTATGAATTTGATGTTAGTTTCATTTTTAATTGTTTTTTACTGTTAACATTTTTGTTTTGAGTTTGATTTGGGGTAATGAGATTAAACAATCATGCGGCCATCTAGTATATCTCCTTACAAAATTCAAATGTATCTAAAGCGTTGTAAATTGTAATTATATGCTATTTCATGTTCGGTTGGCAAAATAAATCGCGGCTTTTGTGTATCCTACATTCGTGTAAGAGAGTAAGAGAATGCAGTAGATGAGGTACTGAATGTTTGCCAAATTTTCTACTTTCAAACGCTCGTAACTTCTTTTAGAGAGAAGCTTAGCATATATTAGGTCATTCCGAAAGTAATTTCGCTTTTTTCGAACGGACGCCACATACGATGGAACAAAGATTTCTAAGAGATCTTGGTAGCGTTCGATGCAGAATTTCATTCTCTTTCTAATGATTATGAAGTTGTTGCAAAACAGCCAATGAGCTTTCAGAAAATAACCAAAACCTGCAACCCATGCTTTTTGAGATGGTCAAGTTTTCTGATTTTTCAAAACTTTCATATCAATCCTCAGAAGGATTGCAAGTAATGGTTCGATAGAGTAAACCTCATAGAATGCAGTACTACTTTTTTCTCTTCTTCGTATCTCGCCGTAATTTTTTTAAAGATTTTTTAACAGAACCATCTGATTTTGGCAGACCCACCTCAGCCACAATCGCATCAAACATCATAATTTTTCGGAATTTGAGACTACCAAGATGGTAATATGAGTTAGCATTAATTTTACAAAGCAAGTGAGGGTTTACGGGTTCGAAATATCAGATTTCGAGTTTTTCCGGTACAGCCTGGGGCTCCCTAAAAAAATGAGTTATGATGATTTTATCCCCGGAAACTAAACGAATCGGAAACAAAAAACACCCATCAGAAAGAGGACAAAAAGCTGCATCGAATGACACCCGAGCTGCTCAAGGTTTGATGTTCTACTAGAATTTAGCTGTCCAAGTATGGAAATCGGTAGCATCAGTTAAAATTCTGCTAAAAATGTATGGCAAGCTATGGAAAAGAGAAAAAGGTTGCTCTGCATTCTATGAGGTGTGTTCTATCGAAATGTCTCTTAAACTTCTTCTGAGAATTGATATGAAAGTTTTAAAAAATTGTGAAACTTGACTATCTCAAAAAGCATGGGTCGCAGATTTTGGTTATTTTCTGAAAGCTCATTGACTGTTTTGCAACAACTTCATAACCATTAGAAAGAAAATGAAATTCTGCATCGAATGCTACTAAGATCTCTTAGAAATCTTTGTTCCATCATATGTGGCGTCCGTTCGAAAAATGCGAAATTACTTTCGGAATGACCTAATATGTTAGTTAGATAGGAATCAGCTTATTGAGACGCATCTAATGATATGCATATCACTTCGGTTCGTTACTGCTATCCGGTATTTTTTCCCTATTAGATAAACATGACTGAAACGAATCCCGCAAAGGAAGTAGTCGACCAGACAGGTAAGTACAAGTTAATGCGAGTTAGTATTGGATCAATGCCTTAGCCTCAACTTACAATTAGATGCACAGGTTTAACGTATACAAGCTTATCAGTAGATCACTTGACAGTGACGTGGCACTTACAAGTTAACAAGGATCCAGAGGGTATAAATATCGTTGAACGATGTCTGGCCATTTTCCTGCTTGTCTTCGATAACCTCGTTCCGAGGTTTGTAATGGATGGCAGGTCTCCAGGGTTATCAAGAAACCCGTCGACCCACAAGTAGCCAGGGACTCAACGAGTATCTATTTCAGGAGGTGAGTTTTTTCAACGTTCATTCTCATATACCGCACGGTTTATATCTCATCGGTTATTGGTATTCAAAATAGGTTTAATCACCTATTTAACAACATCTCACGAGGCAGTAAGCAGCTCGATAGCCCACAAATAAAATTGTATGCAGACAAAGCATCTAAATCGCTTTGATTTCGTGTTTATTTAACTCAGCTGAGTTGGTGTAAACTTATGGTCATGTATACTTTATGTAGATTAGTGAGCCAGCAATTGAAGGTGCTAGATTGCATCCACGCGCTTCGGGATTGCACCGCAGTTTCTCATCTGATGGATTTAGAATTGGCGTTACGATTCTTTATATATGATTTATTTATGTAGATGTACGTGATGATTTTATGAGCACAAAGCATGCCCATTGCCATTCGTAGACACTATCATTTTCCCCAGACACCGGTTTTATGTCATGTTCTCTTTATCTCACATTTTCAGCATGACATCATTTGCGAGTGATCTTATCTATGATCAACATCAACCAAAAATCGCAATCGAAAATATGTCGCGTTGTAATTCACATGAAATCTATTGATGTTTTATAGATGTGCGTAATCGTATCGTATCGGGATTGAAAACCCGTTCCAACGCAATGCTTGTCACTTTCGCGTTTCACCATAGTCGGAAGTGCCTTATGCCTTATGATTTATCTGCAGTGATTTTCAAAAGGAGACGAGATAGAAGAAAAGAGCAAGACGACGGAAAAAATCCAAATTTTTAAGGCATCCTTGAAAGAAAATTCATCAAGTGATGACAGTAAAAAATAGTGTATATCTAAGTATCAGCAGATTCTAAGGTTGATTTAATGTTCTTGCGTATCCGACAACCCTTGAGCGCAAATATCGACAGTGGAAGTGCAAAGTCTAAAAATGTGAGCTGCTGCCAATTTTTGTGCACAATGTTGTCGGCTTTACGAATATGGCGATTATCTGTGGGCAAGTGAAAGCAAATCAGCTACCGTATACCTATACCTACACTTTAGTAGGTATATAGTAGCTGAACGACAGTAAAAGTTGGCCATAAAGCGCATATCCTCAAGTTTTGCTCCCTATAGCCATTTTTTACGCGTAAAAGTTGTCAGCGCCATCATGAAGGGGCATAAAAATTTATAAAGCTGAAATTTCTCCAAGAAGATTGAGGTATAGCACTCAATTAGACAACTTCTTATTCCTCTGTTACTTGCAAAAACGAATGTTGACGAAAAGAGTTCATAGTCAAGTAACCTGCAGCTTGATTTGTGAGGTTGCACACCGCGCGCGGGAAACACGTCTACATTTATTTAATATAAAGGAACAAATTTAAATAATTTTACTTTTACCTGTTTTGCCAAGGAGCTGACTTATGTTTTTATGATGTTTTAGTTTTCTTTCTTTGTGTATATCACCTATTTATGCTAGGAAAAATAGGGGATTTTAAATTTAAATTAACTAAATTTTTGGAAATTGCAGCTCATAAACGCATCAGTCGTGAGATACAATGAGCGTAAGCCCCAAGCCTCCGTTTAATTGAACTGATTTCTCAAAAAAAAGAAGAATTTCTTACCTAACTGTAGGAATCATTGGATCCATAGTAGGAGCATCGTCGAAAGCGAACGCCATTGCTGGTAAGGCAAATAGCAACAACATTTCTGAAAAGTGTTGGAAATGCATCAGTGGCCAGAGAAATCGGAAAAAATAGAACGACAAAAAGCATCTGTTTCTGATAGGTTGGAAATTGCTAACGAGAAAATGAGAAAACTTTGGAAAACAAACTTTACGCCAGCTAATCTCCAGCAATTAATCGCAACATTGGAGCCTCTTGAAGCCTAATAAATCAGCAGATAAGCGAGCAGGTGCTAACACTCAACAAAAACGAAAAAGAAAAAGAAAGCTAACAGCTCGAGATGTAGGATATGTAGCTGCTACCTTCGAGAAAAAGGAGTGGATGTGATGCTGTAAAGCATACGCATAACACTGCAATCCGTAGGTTTGAAAAACTATAAGTACTATTATAATAAGGTCGTTAGGCTGGAAAGAATAGGAATAAATAACAAGATAGGAAAAGGAGTAAAGGAAAGTGAGACGGGCAGTTGCCCAAAAATACTTCTTCGCACCTTCTTTTCAACTTCAAATGCTCCATATTCGACGAAATTCTGACCTACAAACCAAACTAATAAAATTTATTGCACTTGTAATAAACTTCTTTTGCACCAAAACGAAAATTCTTTCGAAATTTAGAAGAACTTTCAGGGTAAAAACCATATTTCTTCCATGAACTGGTTGACCAAAAATAATAATTGAAATCAGTGTTTGGAGAACAAGCAAATTCAATGAAAATGAGGGAGTGTATGAAAATCTAACTATGACTTTGAAAGCTAAGCTCTTCAGGCTATCTCTGAAGCATCGGAGACTGCAATCTAATAAAATTCGAACACTTAGACTTTGCTTTTGTGGCAAATTGATGATTGCGAGGATTCAACGAGCGAAAAAAGAAGCGAGAAAGAATAAAGGTAGTACTCTCCATAGCAATATTTGCTCGTAAAGCGTTATTGTATGTTATGAGAAGCATCGAGTTCTTTTTTGAAGTTCTCTCACGCTTTACTTCAATTTTTTTTCATTTTTTTTTCAGGACGAAGTAGGAACAAAGGAAAATGTTTGTAAAAAAATCGTGTTGAAGTTTTTGATGCAAGCAACCAAGCAGTAAGTAGCAAAAAGCTCTAGTTTTTTCCATGCATCTTTCATCCTTGAGTTTGGTTTTTTCCATTTTTTATGAAGCAAAGTTGAGATCTTTGCAGAAACAATGGGAAAGTTTCATGAAAAAATAACCTTGTGATAAAATTTACGAGACAGTAGCACAACTGTGAGAGTTTTGCACTACTATGAAAAAAAATTTAAGCTTAAATGACTTCTTTCGCTGGACAAGTGAAAGTTCTAATGAATTCTTTTCTGAAGAGAAACAAAATTGGTCATTCAAGTAAAAACTTCATTATAGGACTTTCCGTACTCAGAATTTTTATGAAAGCAGACTACCTGCTTACAAATAAATTAGCATATCACGTAAGATTCTTTCGAATCAAAAAAGCATTCTAATCTATAATGCTCTTCAGAGTTATTGCTCAAGGAAAAATGAAGTTGACTGTGAATCTAATAAAATAAAGAAGACAGACAAATTTTGTAGTAAAGGTTCAGCACAAAAGCTGGATAGCTTTTATAACAAAGCTTCACTGATTTCTCTTTGATGAATGACGAAAAATTCTCGACTTCAGTGTCTTTTGCAAAATTGGCGGCGGGCTTTTCTGAAAGACGATACTTTAAGCTCAGAATATATGAATCTCAAGCACAGATCTTGTTGAATAGAAAGACCTGCATTACCTCCAACACGAAAAAAAACCGAGCTAGCTCAATAAATGCAGCCAACCATCCACACACAAAGCGCCCCCGTCTCGCCCAGATGCATCCATTAGCATACGGGCCTGCTGCTATGAAATTATCGTAAAAATTCTGCCCAGCAGCCAATGGACCGCCATTTTTTGTAGAATACACACACACACGAATTGTTTGAGGCGTCCATAAGTCATTTGTCGATTAGTGTGATGAATGATGCCTAGTTTGCCATAATGATTCTCTTACGCTGACTGCACAATGCCGAGCGTAATGTTCAGACAATAGCCTAGAAACGACAATGAGACTTAATGGATGCAATCTAGAGGAACACACAGCGATTTGTGGCTTCCAGTTGCAAGCTGGCTTTTTTTGGAATTTTTTGTGAGTCTTGGATGCTTAGGGCGCCTTGGATCTCACCCCTCTTCAAGGCAGAGACTATAGCATGCGAAATAAGAGAAAAATAAAATAACATAAAATTTTTGCCCGGCAAGTCAAGCATACTGACAGTTTCTTTACTCATTGTTCCTTTATGCATGACTTCTATACTGCAACATTTGACAATCCACATCTAAAACTTTTGGACTTAGCGAAACTAAGAGCAAACACTTGTGTAAATAGAAATCTATGCTGCTAAATCACTAAGCGGATTTACTTTTCTGAAGGCTCCATTAGAGTTTTGCCCCATTAAAATCAATCAAGCTTGCGATTCAAGCGTTTGTGAGAAAACTTAGTAGTCAACATTTTTCAAAGACACCATCTATTCAAATGTTACTCACAATCAGCACATTCAAAACAGTCGCGCTTAGTTCTGAACTTTTCAGTCCTTGAGAGGTTACCTATTTTTGAAACTGCCTAGGAAAGAACGAAAAATGTTAGAAGAAAAGATATCTACTCAAACTTTCATTTATGAAATTCTGATAAACACGGCAAAAAATATATTGAACTATCGTTCATATCTTTCCTTTTCAGCTCTGCGTGAAGATTCACAAATTGCACTAACAATTTTTGAGCCTATACTATGTAAAGGGTAATTATGACAATATAACAATAATAAGGTTGCTTCTCATACAAAGTGAGAAATTGTTAGGTTTAAATAATTTTATGAACGTTTCTAGCTGATTAGTTTACATAAACTCTACTTCGCACAACAGAGTTATATTAATTATAAAAGTCAAGATTTTGTTGAAAAGAATAAAGAAAATTAATCTGTTTGAAAGAGAGAATTGGGTGGAGATGAACTGACGTTCTTTCATAAATTTTTCTTTGCCTTTTTGCAAAACCTCCTCCATTGGTGGAAGCTGCACATTACACGTGTGAGAGAGCAATCAAAAATAATTCATGACAACGCAATCAAATTTGAGCAAGAATGAAATCCTTGCTCTCTGTTTGAGGGGGCTGAATTGAATCACTGCGTAGGGGTAATAGATTATTGAGAGAAACTAGATCTCTGGGTATAAATCTCGTTGAAAGGAGAGTCTTAACAAAGAGTTTTCAGAACTATGTATAAATCACTCTCTTCTCAACTTTTCAGCAAAAACTTGCAAAAAGGCTGCGAACTACGCAAAGTGCGATTGTGATAAGAATAGCAAGTGAGAAAGCTTCTTGATGGCAATGGCGCCCGCCCATCTCGGGCAGCTTTATACGGGTTGACATTTTACAGTAAACGAAAGCTGACAGTGAACAGTAGCTGTCGTGTTGTCTGTGTGTTCCAGTTTCGGGTTTTTCGTTCTTGTTCGAGCACAATCGGGTCTTGGCACAGTCTATTACATCTCGGGAGGGGGGGGGGGGCAAACTCCGTTGAAGGGCGCATCGGCGCCCTTCGCACTATTCCCCCTACCCCCTCCCCCCGCGCCCCGTCGTCAGCAACGGTTCAAGGACTCTGCGGGGTAAAAGAGATTTGCTGCCTTCATCGCCGGTGCCAAAACTCGTTCTTGACTTTAACAACGAAAAACTCGTCACTTTGTTGTGGTTTTGTTTCGTTTCTGCATGATTGAGTTTTTGTTTTTAGCTGTACACAAGCAGATTGCTGGCATTTTGCAAGCGATCAAAGCAAGAAGGTGACAATTCTGTTGCGCAATTAATGGCTAGCATTTGCGGGGGCAAAAAGATTCTCGAGCTTGAGGAACAAGCTTTGAGCGTGTTTGGTCTCGAATTACATATCTTTTCTTCTATTAATTCATATGTAGCGAGACAAAAGTGTGTGTTGTTTATCTAGACTGACAAGCACTGAAAGCACAAAAAGTCAAGAAAGGGCTCAGCAATTTGAAAACTCAAAAATCAAAAAAAAAAAGAATGAGGAAATACCACGGCGCAAACAGAATTTCAGAGCTTAAGAAATGATAGAAACCCATCAGCAGTTGCTTGTTCGTGCTTTTTTTGCAGTAGTGTAAGTCAAATTCATGAAATAGAATATAATAAAACCAGTAATGGTATCAAACTCAAAACTTTGAGCACAAAGTTGTAGAAATGTTAACAATTTTGGTTCTTGAGATTTTCAAATTTCTCTTATAATGTGACGGTTAACAGTTTTTATTTATTATCAAACATTGGGCATTCGATGAATTGTATGTGTAAGTTGTGTGATTTCTGTCTGCAGAGAATATATCTCAAGGTACAAACAAAGATAATTTTTATGTTATGATATAAAACGGAAATGACGCTGAAAATTGTTATTACCCTTGTTTGTCTAATAACCTTCAAAAGTAAGCGTACCTTTTTTCTATAAACTGTGCAACTGACGTCAAAATGGAGATATAATCAATGCTCTTCGAAACATTGAGGGTGATAATGATTTGGCTTTTAAAAAATTACTTGACAGCAAGTCATACACATTCTTTTCCATCTCTACGAACTTTAATTCTGATAATGATACTAACTTGCATTACAATTCAGTTTTGAAAACTTCTAGATACAGAATTTGCTTGAGCTCATTGAAATCAAAAGGCATTAAATTTTTTTGTAAAAACCAGACTTTTTCTTTTTCAAACTAGAGATTCTCTTTTCCTAGATATGTTCCGAAATAGTTCGAATTGCTTATTTCTTCAAAAATCTCAAAGATTAAGGGCTAGTCCTCCGCTGAATTTATTTCATAATAAAAAAAATAGAACAGTTATAACAAAACATCTTTATTTCAAAACAGCACGTTATTGCTGCAAAGAGTTCTCTGACTTGACAAGTTCTTCTTTTTTAAGGTTTTGAACAAAATAAGGACGATTGGAGAGAAAATAAGTCAAAAGAGGCCGAGACAAGAGATGAGGCCTAGAATAGT